TGTGTGTATGTGCATAATTCTTTTAGTCTTACACTTTGAATAATATTGCCAACTTTATTCCTTTTGTCTGAATATTTCTATATATTTTTCTTTATTTTTTTGTTTTTAATCTTTTGATATATAATTTGATATGAAGGTAGAGAGAATTTGATTTTGTTTATTTTTATTAAATTTGAGTCTTTAAGAAAGATAAACACATTTGTTTTTTGCTTATTTCTTATATGTACAGTCCTTATTCTACTGTGTGATCCTATTATGTTGTATAATTTCTTTCTTTTTAATGAGGGTTTTTTCTGACTTTCTAAGACTTTTTTTCTTGTTTTTATGCTCTTTGTGGATTGGGATTTACACACGATTTTAAAATTCCATTAGAAGACACATTTAAGCTATTTAAAAAAAATCATACTCTAATCTATAATTATGCAAATTATTGCCAATAATAAAATAGTGTCTGTTGGTTTGTCCTTGTAAGAAAGTCTGTGTCACCAGCACTGCTGGCCGCACAAGGTCCTGTAATGTGGAAGCATGCGGACACTGCACCTAAAAGCCTTTAAAAGGCACCTCAATTAATACAACAGAAATGCTAGCTGATAGAGTATTTTGTCATGGTTTAAATGACAGAGATTTTTCTTCCCTAGTGGGACCTAAAATAATGGTGTGTTTAGGATGTGTCACAGATGAGATGAAATCTTTTATGTTCTCTTTGAAAACACTTTTTCTGCACAAGGACAGGAAGACTCAAATTATTGTTTTCAACATCAGGATTTCTGAAAGCAGTAAGGTCGAGCTACACACCTTGCCATGGAGAAGAGGTTCCACCTGCCGACCAGGGCTGGCGCGGGGCGGGAGAGCTGCGGCTCTGTGAGAGGGCCGGGTCAGGTGCTGGGGCCTGCGGCATGGCTTTGTCCTTGTGGCCCTTCCTGCAGCTGATGGGGACGCCACGATCTGTCAGCAACTGGGACGTCTCAGCACCTGAGTCTCACCCAAAGAGGAATCTCCCCCTCCTCCCCTTGTGGAGTCCAGACAGATCTCATCCTTATGTCAGCATGTCCCCAAAATCTCTGCCCAGGAAAACGTTAGAAATATCTTAAGTGAATTGGCTTTAAGTGACCTCTACAGTGACATCCAGCCAGCAAGGCCCCTGCAGGTGCCAAGTCTTGTACACCACACTGCCAACAAGCAGACGTGGCTGGTCTTCTGTGAGTGGCACAGGGACCTCCACCCACCACCCGGCTTGGTAAGATTAGTCCCCCTGTTTAATCTTAGCTAGAGGCCTGGTTAGTATCAACTTGCAGCATGGCTTTAGTACCCCAGCAACCTGAGAGCGGTGAGATGCAGGGACAGGATTGTTCACCCCTGCAAATGTTCTTCTCTGTGTTAGGATAAGTCATGTGCTGAGAGCGGACTGTCTTTGGCTCAGCCTCTGTGGCAGGCAGCTGTCTCTCTGGGATCTTTCAAGGGCACACATAAGATGTCCCACTGCAACACCCAACTGCTTCATGGGCCCACCAAGCACATGGTTTGGCCTCTCTGAGGAGCCATCTCTGAACACTTGGCGCATTTGGCAAAAGGGATCCCACTCAGTGTTGCACTCTCCTACCTCGGGCTTCTCTCTTTCAGCTGCAGGTTGAGGGAGGAGTTAGTGCAATTCTCCCACGGTCTCCTGCAGTGATCTTCTGTGACATGTTTTTTTTTCCTCAGGAGCATTAGTTGCAAACTGACCTTTGACAGCTTCTTTCAACCTCTCCCAAGTAAACTATTTTTAAAAATGCTTCCCCATGGATGTCATCCTTCCTTAGCATCTTACTGTGATGCCAATTTTCCTAGTTTTATGTTTGTTCATTTCAGGGGGATCCAATAGACAACAGAGAAACAGAATTAGATGCTTTTGCTCCAGCTGTGTGATGTGAGGTGTTTTTTTGTTTGTTTGTTTGTTTTTAAACAGAAGTTGGGTCATCCTGCATTTAGGGTGTCTACAGGACTTACAAAGAGAAACACTACAAAAATTAGTGGTTGAATACTTTAATCTGAGATGCAGGGGTGGTCTGGGATGAAAATAGAAATTTGGGAGACACCAGCCTTCGGTGGCAGTCAGATGGTCACCGGAACAGGAAAGACTGGCTAGAGCAGCAGTTTCAGAAGCTCATCAGTCCCTGTCCCAGAGATCCTGATTTAGCAGGCCTATGGGAATCTCCAAGAATCCACAATCTTTTTTTTTTAAACTTCCATTGAAAGATTCCTAAAATTGAAAAAAAAAAAGAAAGAAAGAAAAAGAAAGAAAGATCTCTAAAATTGAGTATTAAGAAAAGAACTTGTAAGAGAATTCTTCCAGCCTGGCTCTATCCGTGTAGGAAAGTTCGATGTCTAAACTCACATAGACATGGCTATGTGTTAGGAATGGTAGCAGGGTCACCACTAAAAAAGTGAAGACTTTGAAAAGTCTTTGTGGGGGAAGCTGATGAGAAACTTAAACAAGGTGAGACGACAGAGATTGTTAGTTGGACGTTGGTGCGCATGCCTGTGCAGCTTTCCCCTTCTTGCTGAGCAAGCTGAGTGCGGACTTGGAGACGGTGGGCGGTTGAGGTAAGGGAGTTGGGTGGAGCAAAGGGTAAGGACAGGACACCCAGGGCTGCCAAAATCTGCTGATGCCTGTCCACCACGCTAACCTATTCCCAACATAGCTGCTCTTGACCTTAAAATCATCAGTCCCTTATCGCCACCCATCCCTTTTCTCTCAGTCCATGTCCTTCTCCTTTGTTAACTTCGAAACCAAAGGGCATTATTTTAGTCACCTTCTTGCCAGTAACCCACAGAAACTTAAATAACTAGTTTAAGGTCAAACCACTAATAAATGGTGAGATCAGTCTGAAGGGTGTGTGTGTGTGTGTGTGTGTGTGTGTGTGTGTGTGTGTGTGGTGTTGCTGTTGTTTACCTACTACTTTATATGGCCCTTTCGGTTGGCATGGTGATGGTCCACCCAGACCCTGTTTAGTGAAGGACTCAGTGCCCCAGCCGCTGGGAGTGCGGTCAGCAGGCAGACCTCCGCTCCCAGGCCCTGCAGGCTTACTGCAGCCGCAGAGAGTGCCGCACCCGTGTTCACACCCCTGCCTGGCTTGCTATATCCAATGACTGATTGGTGAGGGAGACAAAGGCCTAGCCCTCTCAGCCCTGCTTGGGGCTACTCTGAAGGGATCCTCTGTCTCCAGAGCATCCAGCAGGGTCAACTGAGGCTGTCTTTGGGCCTGGACCACCGCTCACCTTTTCCTCCACCCTTCCTGCTTCCTCCTCCTCCTCTCTTCCATGGGTGTTGATCCCAAGGGCACTCCTCACCAGACATGCTCCACACTCAACTCCCTCTGAGTCTGTTTCCCAGGGGACCCAAACCGAAAGAGTCTCTCAAAGAAATAAGAGTCAGACTGTGCTATTATAGAAGTCATTACTTCTCACCTTTCCCAGAGAGCCTCCCAAGTGTTTCAGAGAGCATCCAGCCCAGATGAGGCTGGGCACACCTGCCCCTCGTCACCATGTGTAGTCATTTGGGTTTCAGGTGCATAGGGCTCAAGAGAGAGGGTCTAATCAGGGCTGAGCTAAGTCAAATGCTCCCACACTTGGAATGGGGATAGCCTGCTGCTGAAGCTTTGCTGACTCTTTTGCTTCCCTTGTCATCCTCCTGAGCCAAGTCTGGGCTTAGAAGTCCTAATCTTAAACCCCAATTTTAAACAACCTTCAGATGAGGCAAATGATATATAGAAATTTTCAGGCTCACATCTGCTCCGTCATTGCACTGTGATCTTAGTGACTGAAAAATAAAAGCATGACCTAGGCCAAAGTCAATGAATTTCAGTGCTTTTATTTCAGGTTTATTGTTTCCCTTATATTTTATCAGTTAGAACAAACAGCTAAAACATGTCAGGAAAAAAATCATATCATTCATCAGAAAATAAAATTTTGTTGGTTTTTTTCAATGCGATTAAGTATTATAGGAATACTAACAAAAATGGGAAAAAAATCAGTACTTATATATTTCAAATTTTGCAAGTTTCTCCACATTTTAATTGCTCTCTTAAATCCATATAATCACTATATAAAGAAACTAAGTAAATGATTCAGGATATATTTCTTTATGGTGTTTAAAAATTTGTGGTTGTTGGTTCAATTCCTAGACAGCTATGAAGATTTCATCTGTGCTAACCACTTAATTAGAAAAATATGCAAAGTAATACTCTGATGGAAATTTCAAAATATTTAGTAGGGAGGAAAGTTAAGTTTATATATTAATAATGGAATATATTTCATTTAATTAGAATATATATTGCCTTCTAATCCAACTAATATGCATTTCAGTCAGCAGCAAATTGAAGCCGTATGTTATCTTCAATGACCGCTCAGATCACTCTAAGTATATAATCTGTGTTACATTAAATAACCTTATTTAGGTAACTGCTTTAAACATTTTGTAGACTCAAGTGCTTCTTAAAGTTTTCAGTTATTGATTTTCAAATCTTCTTTGTAGGTATAAGCCTCTCAGAAGGGCAAGCGTAATCACGTTTCCTGCCCAGCTGGTCTTTTCCTTTGATAACCACCCATGTTACTCTACCAGCCTGTCAATAAGCATTTAGTGAGAACCTGCTGTGGGGCTGAAGCCTCCATGGGGGCCTAGGAGCAAACAAAAGGTTAGTTTTGCCTGGAGAAGCTTACAATCAAGTTGCTGCTGCTTTTCATGAGCATAAACCAGGATGAGTTTGCTTAATTTTCTGGTTCATCAACAGCAACGACAAAGATGTTTTTCTTAGGTGTACCAGTAGCTTTGACACTGCTCTTAAGCTGATAGAAAAAAAAAAGCTTCTATTTACTAATAAAAACAATAATGACAAAGTTTATGTAGAATCCTTTAGCATAGTCTCCAGAGGTTGCATAACTGCAGATCAGATTTATAATATCAAGTAGTGGACTGGTTCTTAATTATTCATATGTTAAAATGTGCTCTAATTTTTCATGGTTTAAGAGTAAAATGTCAGGACATTTTTGTGGTTTCCTCTAACTAGTAAGACAGGAGGGAGGTTCTTCGTGAGGATTTCCAACCAAGCCATGTACAGCCAATCTGATATAGATCCTTTTCTTGCCACTGGAAGGCTCCTGACAATGTGGAAGAAAAATAGAAAACAAAGGTGAGAATTATTACTTGTAGTCAGTAACATCACTAGTTATCTGAGCTATTTAATAAGCAGTGGCCTGAAACTTTTATACTCCTTCTCCCAAAAATGAAAGCACTTAAATTATTTTGAATATAGGTATTATATATATAGGTATTATATTTCTCAGATAGTACAAATATCTGCAAACCAGGGAATTAGGCTTAAGCATTGTAGAGACAAAACACAGCTATAAATTTTCACTCCTCTTTAAATGGAAAATTTTTTATCAACCAATACTTCTTCCCATTTTTTGGCAGGCATAATTTTTCCCAATAGTTTAAAGCTCTTATATTTGGGAGAAGCCTCAGAAACCAGCTATTTGAACCATTCAATTCAGGAGACCATTTTACATCTGTGTTGGATAGGAGTCCAGGAGACCTTGCTTGAAGACATATAATCTTTGTACATAGGAGTCAGTTCATGAGCTACCAATGTGAGATAGTTGGAGGTTTTCATATTTAGTTATCAATCTTAGGTAAACAAACATTAATATTTTCAGCAGGTGCACCCCTAACACTCGTGGGGTGGAGGGTCTCCCCTTGGCCTCTCGCAAATGGAAAGGAGCCTTGTGGACACGTAGCAGACTCCACATCTCAGGAGCGCCTGTCTAGCAAATGGGCCTGTGAGCCTCGTTGGCCAACTTGAATGCTGTTAGGCAGGGAATTCCAGGCTCGGGCTCCTGGAGCATGGTCTGGGGGGGCCGGTGGGGTCACAGGTGGGCACTGCCCTGGAGCAATATGCTTGTGGGCCTTCTAAAGCCCATGGGCCCCAGTTTTCTAAGTCTCAGGGTGACAAATATTTTTTTTCATTGTCTAAAATCCCATAAGTTGCAATTTTTTTAAGTTTCCATCTGAATAAGCATGAGCTTTTAAATTGATTAACCATTTACCTAAGATTTCTCTGGAATATTCTTAAATATCTGCAGTGATACTTACAGGACTATGAGATTAGCAGCTCTTGAGTGCTCCTGTAAGAGTTCATTCAGTCGAACTTGGCGGTAACTCTGTGGACAACATTCAGATTTTGTTGAGAGCAGTTTTCCCAGAATTATGAATAAGAATTTCTCTTCTTACCTCAAATTATAGACAAGTAGAAAAACCTCACTCTTAAAAAATATTACAATGATTTCATTCAGGTTTGGAAACACACAGTGTTTTTAAAAACTCATGAGAAGTTTTAGAAATATAAAGTATAGAACCAAATTGTCAATGCGTGATAGTGGCTTGTTAAATTCTAGAAGGAAAAAACAAGCAAACAAAATGGGCAACAGTAGAAAGAAGATGACAATGACAATTCTGGGGACAGGGTTTGTGGTTGAAAAAAACTAACCTAATCTTGATACAAATTTGATATCTCAGGAATATCGATTATATCCTAATTTATCTTTCTTTAAACTCTTTGCATATTTGATCAGCATAGGGCACTGGTTTCAACTAAAAAGGCACCAAAAAACTAACTTGGGAAAATAATTACACTTAACTATTTTTGCAGTGATAAGAGAAATAATATATATTATTATATTTCACTGGTTTCAGAAATGTGATTCCAGATATGTGATTTGCTTAATTGTATGAAAAGTCTTAGAACTGGGTGGTTTGTTATGCACAGAGTTCATGATTCTTAGTAATTTTTCCACTAACTTTGAAACGCTTTTATTATCTCTTGCTCTAATTTGTTCTAACTTCAGCTCCTAATGCAATTTATTTAAATTTTGTAGTTTAGAGGTTTTTGTGGTCCTTCTCCTTGAATGTTCAATCCAATTCAAATGTCAGTTCTACTTTACTCCTATGTCCCTGCTTTTTTAAGCATCCTCATCATCACAGCTTCATTCAGTGCAAGCCACATGGGGGGTAACTCCCATCTTGTGTTTCCTAGAAAAGCTCACCATTTTACACCCATCCTGCCACGTGTGCCTTATCCAACTTTCATCTTCATTATTCCAATTTCGTATTTTCTCAGATCCCTGTTAGGTTTCACAGCTATCTTTATCAGCTTGAAATTATTTGTCATTGCATCAAATTATGAGTCAATCTATTGTTATCTACTTTGCATACACATTGACTTGACTTAATTATTTTAGACTGATGGGTCTGTCTCCTGTTCTATAAAATTAAACTTGAGAGGAGTTTTCATAATACGTGTCAATAACCTGTGTTTTTTTAACTTTTAAAAGGAATCGATTTTATACTAAATAAATAAAAACTTTTCTAAACCCTCCTATCCGGTAATATAATAGAAAAGCACTTGAAAAACTCAGGAATCCTGGATCTTAATGAAATTCTATAATAGATTCATTACTTACTGATTTTTAAATCAACCACTGTTTTCTTTTTTTGGCTAGTTAGACAGCACAGTAAAAATTAAGGAAGACAACTCTTTACCTTTTCCTTGACTGCTTCCAGTTCAGCATCTGTAATTTTCCATGGAGCTTCCCTCTTTAATTTCTCAGCAGTTGTTAAATCTTTGCAGCTTTCATGGAGCCGATATTGTTCTATCATCTCTTCAAAGACTTTCCAGCTGAAAATGGAATTATAAAGGAGGCCTCACAGTGAGAAACTAACTCATTATTTTACAGATACTCCAGGTTTGACTGGGCGGCTAGCTGGCTGCAGAATCAGAGCTGAATGTCATGCAAATCTTTTAAGAGTTATCTTTGCAAGAGATGTACTGGGAGTAAAATCACAACTACAGTATCAGCTTCTTATCCAAGGAAAGGCATTAACATGTTTGAGGACTTGTTCACCTTTTAGCTATTAAATCCTTAATATAACTACATGAACACATAAATAGTAATTTTTCTGGAAATACATTTTCTATATAGTATAGTCAAAGACACAGTTGTAATGTAGACACTTTAGCTCAGAAATGAATTTCCATCAGCTTAATTTACAGATTACATCAAAGACATGCATGAACCAATGTAAGAGATCAACCAGGTTCTTTGGGGGTTGGGATCCTCCTCGCCTTCAGTTCACGTGACAACTCCCACTCACGGCAGGCAGGAGGGGTGGGCAGGTGGGAGAACAGCAAGGGCTGCCACAAGTTCAATGGCCATAGAACAATTTGAATGTTTGATGCTAATAAGGCAGCCTTTGTCCTTCTGCTGTTATTGCCTGAGCTTTTCAAATGACTATTTTTCAGGTGCATGTTAGAAGAAAGGACAAAAATCAATAATGTCTAAAATTCTGAGGCCATTTTAGAGTAATTAAGGAGAAATTTAGAAGAGAACTGGGAGCAGCAGTATGTCAGTGCTGTGGAACATTAAAAAAATTGCTGAAAGATCTCACACTTGTCCTTCAAAACAATCTCACAAGATATATATATTTTAAAATGATAGCACAAAACAAAGCTTATGATTTATGAGAGTCGTTGTCTTTGGTATGCTACTCTAACAATCTCAAATATAAATAATTTTCCTTGGTTTTATATAATTTAGTTTGCATGTAATTTAGTAACTTTGGAATGAGTGATAATTAGATTCAATGTGCTATTAGGCTAAGAAATTAAAATATGAAGCCACCAGTTCAATGATCTCATCAGTTAGCATAATTTAGGATTTGCAGATCCAAGTGCATAGATTACAAATGAGTAGAATGTTCCTACCGTGTGCCTTTGTTAAGGGATTGGAAATATACTTCATGCAGTAGATTTCTGACACTTGGACTTATTTAGAACTGTAGACAATGACAGGGAAGAAATAAGACTGATATGCCCTATTGTTCTTTCAACTGCACAGTACTTGTATTCGCAGCTTGTTACCAAAGTGTCGGGCTCTCAGAGACCTTGGGCAGTAATGAGTGCAAAGGGGCTGGCCTCCGAGAGAAGAGCCTGCGTTCCCCCTCCGGCTCCTCCATCCCCCTCCACAACAGGATGGCGTCACCTTTAAAAGGGGGTGATGACAGCTGCTGGCATGGGGATTGGTAGGAGGGTCAGTATGATAATTTTGGTGACAGTGCTATGGAAAGAATGCAGTGCCCTGGAAAAGCAAGGAATTCATTCTGTTTAAGCTCCCCATATACTTATTTTGATCAGGATAAGAGTTTTCTTTGTATCTTAGTGGGCTTATTAGAAAGTCCAGTTCAAAAATAGTTTCCTAAGAAATAGAAGGTGGAATGGAGGTTGCTGGTTGTCTCCCAAGCGTTTACGCTACGCTTCCCCACTTTGGTCTGGGTGGGAATGACTGCATCCCCAGCCTCAGCCAATCCACACAATTCTATCCTTTCTGCCAGAGTGGCTGGCCAAGATGGGCACAGGACCCAGGTAAGCTTGACGAATAGGCACCTAGCATTCCACTGGACCATGGTGAGCAGTGCAGCAGCGTAGGTCGGAACTGCCTAAATAGTGCCCCTGCCCTGAATTCAGTGACTGGGGAAGAGACAAACTTTCTTACTGAACATTGTTAGCAATTATATAGGCCTGGTTGCTATGGACAGTCATCTTGTTTTTATTAGCAAAGTCAACTTAACTGATGGTATCATAATGGAAGGTAAAGTAGAGAGAATGAAAGAGGATCAGTCCTTGATTGCAAAAATTAACTTTCTAGATGAAGTTTTGCCTGAAAACCAAAATACGAGGAGGGACTCCCCGAAGAATGCAATTTATTAATAAGAAATTGTGTATTTATTCTTACATGTGTAAACTTCAGTGACCTTCAAAGTACTCTCCATTTGATGCAATAAACCTATCAATGTTTTTTCCACTGCTCAGAACAGTTTTTGTAAAAGGTGTAAGATTTATATGATCTGAAGAGAAATGAGTATCAAAACACTTTTTGAATTTGTAAATTTTGATGCCTTTTAGTACTTCTGTCGTTTTTTTTTTTTTTTTTGTTTCACCTTTTCCACATTGGCAAGACATTTCTCTTTGAGGACTTTTTTCTATCCAGGGAAACAAAGTCATTTGGGGTGAGATCAGGTGAATAGGGAGGGCGGGGTATGGGGGTCATATCATTTTTGGTCAAAAACTGTTGAGCCCTCAGTGGGGTGTGTGCAGGTGCATCTGTAAATCATCCATTGTGAAATGGGCAAATGCATTGAAAGAGTCTTCAAAAAAAATTCATTGAAGCTGAATGCAGCCTCTCACAACAACGCCACCTGGTACACGGATACCGATGGGTTCCTAGAGCACTCACCTAGCCGGGGAAGCCTGTAATACAGGGGGCCTGCTTGCCAGAAGATAATTCCATTTTTTTTTGGTGCCCCCATGTACACTTGTATTTTTAAGTCATGTTTGACAATAGTTTCTATTACTTAAGTCACTATGTTTTCTTTTACTTGCAATTGAAATATGATAAAGTGACACAAAAGGTTATCATGGGGTTGTATTTGCCCATTTGTTTCTCTGAACTCTTACTACTCCTTGACTATGCTCACCTTTGATTTCTTCATCTTAAGGCTCACCCTGAGCTGGTCATTTTCTATCTCCTAGCTGGGTAATACAGAGTTAGCTGAAGATTTTTATTTTAATTCTCATTAAATGTGATTTTTCTTATAAGTAGTTTTTTAAATGACTCAAGAAGAGGCCAAGCATTACATGCTATTAAAAATAAATGACATTTAATTCAATTAAAATATTACCTCTAGCTGCCCTGCCTTCTCCATCCTGTTCTTCATAATAACAAAGTTTAAAATGTTTTAATTCTATAAAATTTCCCCCTTAATTTATGTAAGATTTCTTCTTTCCAATTAATGTACTAGTTATTTTTATGACCACTCTAGCATCTTTAAGCTAAATTATCTAGTTAATTGCTTCTAGTTTCTCTTGATTTCTATATAAAGACTGTTGTCCTTTTGGCCTATGACTTTTAATTCAGTTACACAATAAAAAAATGAAATCCAGCCAATAGAGCTTTTCAGTTTTTCCTAGCTCAATTAGTTTCTCATTAACTTTGCTTTTGTACTCCCTCTCACCCTTGCTCTATCATATTATAGATAATGTTTCTATGATCAAATGTCCCCACCATGACTTACTGATGTTTTATGGTAGCTGAAAGATTTATTAAGCACAATTTAAGAACATTTAACATTAACCTCCAACACGGAAATCATTGACAAACTTTCTTGGACATTCTGCATCACCTGGTGACCAAAAACAGAAACAAAAAACCAGTGACCAGGCAACAGTTGTTAACATTAGATAAGGGCTGCTGGGCCCAGAAAGCCCAGGAGGGAGCTGAAGCTGAGCCTGTGTTCCAAGCTTTGGGCCCTGGGCCCAGGGCTGTGTCAGCCCATAGGAGGGGCTCTCTCTCCCATTGAACCACTCAGAGGTGCTGCCTTTAAAAAATTACCACAAAGGTATGATGTGCTACCAGCGGCCATATATGAGATTTACTGAATGACCATTCTCTGTTTTATAAAGTAACATGGCATCAGTTACAGCAGAAGCTGAAGAGCATAGGATAGCGCTTCTAGCTCACCTCCTCTTGGTGGCCTCCTGTCTTTGTGCCAGGGTAATTACTGCAAAAATTCCCTAATTCCAGTGAGAAATTTAATTTTAATTCCTCCCCTGCATCTTCCTCAAGACCTTGAAATATCAGAAAAAAAAAATCTCAGAGATTGTGAAAACTAGTTCATTATTTTTCCTGAGAAAGGGAAATAGATCTTTTCATTGCAGGATGAGGAGGATATGTAAGAAACACACAATTAAATTTGGTGTCTGAAATTAAATTTGGATACCATGAGACAAACAGAAATGCCTGGGTCTCTGCTTCTTACTACTGTTCATAGAGTTCAGTCCCTGAAAAGAAGAAACCATGGTACAAAGGGCAGAGTTAGTAAGATGAAGAGCAGCTAAACTATGCTGGGCAATGAAAGAATGTAGAGGCATGGTTAATGGAAATAGTACATCGACATTCTTGGTAATAGGACATAAATGATGGGTATCAGGGGATGACCATGGCATAGACTAGCATGAAAGAAGGGGAAGGAACCCTGGCCAGTATGGCTCAGATTGTTGGAGAGTCATCCTGTAAACCAAAAGGTTGCAGGTTCGATTCCTGCTCAGGGCACATGCCTAGGTGGTGGGTTCTGTCCCCGGTCAAGGTGTGTATGAGAGGCAACCCATCAATAGAGAGACAACCCAAGGGAGAGAGTTCCTTTCTCTCTCCCTCCCTTACTCTCTCTCTAAAATCAATAAGCATGTTCTTGGGTAAGGATAAAAAAAAAAAAAGAAAGGGAAGAAAACAAGGACTTGGGTAGAGAAAACCATATTGACCAGTGAGGAGGCAAAGATACAGGTATGAATTGATTATCAAGCATAGACTGTCCTTAGCTGCTAATAAGACAAATAACAACAAGAAGAATTCAGCCTCAGGTAGGTGACTAATTTGTGCCAGGACTGAACCAAGGCTTATAGAAAATTCAAAGGCAGCAGGGCATGTTGTGACTACCCTCTAGACAACAGCAAATGGCCCTGTGCTTGCAGAGCATTGCCAGACTCTGGCCTGTTGCTAAGTGGCACATACTAGGGAATCATTGGACCTGCCATGTTATGAAAGAGAATGCGTTTCCACCAATTAAAGCCATAAGATGAGCTCATTTGATCACATCATTGCAAATGCCAAGAGGCAAAGACTTAGACATTAAAATTCTTCCAATGAAATGTGGAAGGCTACCAGAGATTATTGCATGACAACCCAGTTCATATCAAAATATTAACTCCACTTACCAAGGAAAAATCTGTTAATTTTACTTAAGTACTTATAACTGTAGAAATACAGGAATGCAAGGAATTTGTGGAATACATGGTGTGAGGAAATATCCCATAGTAATAACCTATGTCTACCTCGACAATTTTAGCTTATCACAGTTAAGGTGTTTGTAAAGCCATTTTGAGTGACCCGTAGCCTTGGAGGGATCATGAATACCCTCCAATAGCATGAAGTTCAAAGTTGTTCTTCAGTAAATAAGAGTGCACCCGAAATTTGGATGATTTCCAGTTATTGATCTCATATAGGATAACAATGAATCAAAATAGAGAAGAGCAAGAAGACCTGAAGAATGTGGAATGGCAATCCAACAAGAACCGCAGGAGGAAGGAGAAAGGATGGTCAGCAGAAACGAGAAGAGGCCCAACAGGCAGGTGAAGACATAAGCCATTCCTTTGTGACTCTCTCTAACCTTACAAGCCCCCTTGCATGCCAAAGCAAACATGTCAAATTACATTCAGATACAGTAATAAACACGATTTTGGACCATAAACAATTGAAAACATTTTATAATTGTTAACTTATTGCTCTAAGTAGTTGACTTATAATCAGCTATAATTTCCATATAATCTTGCACCCCTGGGAAGTCCTGTGAAGATCTAACCTACAAATTGTTTTTAAATATCCTTGACAATTTAATAATTAAAGAGGGTTAAAATGATGTCATATTTTGAAGATATTTAAACAATTATTTCAGTTTTGCTATTTTTAAATTTTGGAGCCGATACATATTCTTGGCTGGCTTCAGGTAGTTTTAAAGACCCCCCTTTTGGGGCCCTCATAGACTCTAAGTGTTGAATCCTTCATGCCTAAAAGCTACAATGGCCACAGAGCGCTGGTACTGTCATTGTGCCAAGAAGACACAAGCTGTTTCCAAGTCTTCCCCACTGGAGCTCTCCATCCAGGATGCCCCACCAGTAACTTTAAATAACGGAAACTTGCCCTGACTGCTCAGGTCAGAATCCTCTCAGCTTATGCTTCCTGCTATCTTGCCACCATAGACACCAAGAACATGAAGGGCAGCTCTAAAATGCTAAGTGAACTGTTTCAACAATTCTGCCTCTCAGGCTCATCTTCACCATAGGACTTTTCCTTCCATTAGAATGTACTTGATAGTACTATGTCATGATTACTGGAAGTCCCTTTTTATTGTATCTTATAAGGAAGTCACTGCAATAAGTGCATAACATTTTTACCCTTTTAATAATCAATACAAAAGAGATGAGAGTATCACAGATTAAAAAATGGACCTTGTTAAATGTTTCATACCTCTCTTTGTTTGGCTTAATGTTGATGTCACCAATGATATGGATGTCTGCGAATTTTATCCTAAATTTGCTCAGAAGGGAAGCCATTCTGAAAATAAAAGGGAAAAAAAACCCCTTTGTCATTCCATATTTAGCTATGTTTCAATCAAAGAGTTTTGTGTTTAAGATATCAAAAGCAATCATGTCTTATTTTCACTTAGTTTTCAGACAAAGTCATTGGTTAGTGTTTGATTTTCATTATCTTGCTTGATGGATATATTAAGTGTGGACCAAGCAGGAAAAAAAAAAAAAATCCTAAAGGTGCAGACACTGGAAATAGCAAACCCAGCTCTGCATTATGTTTCAAGGAAAATAATGTTGAGCTGCTGAAATGCTTTTATCATTTAAAAAAAGAACACATTTTAATACTTTTTAACTGTTATTTTGCTGATAATTTTTAGAGTTTATTGTCAAAATAATGACAAACTAATAATTATAGTGTGGACCCCGAGAAAGAAGATAACCTATGGAGAAGGACTTCTGGTGGCTAACTGCACTCAAATTTAAAAGCAGAGCCAAGTAGCTCTTTGTAAATAGGGGCCTCTCACACAAACTGCACTTCGGGGAGAGGCCTGCACTAAACTGCCTGTCTGCACTGTGTTCCTGCCATCTGAGCCTGCTCTCACAAAGAAATTCTTGGAATTTTATTTTAACCAATAAGACTGAGACTTTCTCAGTCCAATTAGAGCTGTACAACGATAGTTGTAGCAGCATCTTCTCTGACCAATCAGAGTGGCTCCATTCTGACCAATCAAAATAGTGCTCTCCGGACCACTCAAACTGCAACTATTTGTAGTCTTCATTTGCATGAAACAGACCAGTCAGGGACCAGGGGTGGAGACTTCTTCTATAAATGTCCTCTCCTTTCTGATGTGGAGAGCGCACTCTCCCTTTCCGCCAAAGACGGAGACTGCCTTTCCCAGCTGGAGCTGAAGGAGTCTCCCTGAGGCAGAGGTGGAGCAGAATGGGGCAGAGCAGGGCCCCCTTGCCCCAGGGCCACCTTACAATTACGCTGCTTCACAGCTGTGCTGCTTCATAACTGAGCTGCGACACTATTGAACTGTTTCACAGCTGTGCTGCTCTTACAGTTGCGCTGTATCACAACTGAGCTGTTTGAACTGATTAGAGTTTCCTTCTTCACCACACCCCAAACTGGGGATTCCTGTTGGTGCTGAATTGATGCCAATGACCATTGGTTGACATATGTTATTATAGATTGGAGTTTTTTTTTTTCTCCCCAGCAATGGAAAATTTTGATATAATTTCAAAGTTGCAAAAAAATTGCAGGGATAGTGCAAAGAAATTCCAGATTCCTTAATTATTTATGTTCTGCCCCATTTGATTTATCATTCTCTTTTACTCTTGTTATACGTTTACATCTATCTGCATCTTTTTCTCCTCTTTTCTTTTTTTACTTGCTTTTTTGCTTTCTGCTTATCTGCCCACCTACCTACCAAAGACATTCTCTTACATAGAGTACAATTTTTGAAATCAGAAAATTTAACATTCATAACATGTTGTCATCTAATCCACTGACCATTTTCAGCTTTTATCAGTTGTCCCAGTAAGCCACTTTAAGAAAATATAGTTATTGTGGACATCATGTTTGTTTTCATTTTAATATGATCCTTTTTAAGAGAAATTAAATATACCTTGTAAGAAGGGGGAGAACATATAAAAAGGCATTACTGAATAAGAGCCCACTGTTATTTCGTGATTTCTGGACGTAGGTTCCAGAAGGGCTCAGGACTCAGACATGCCGTGAGGAACTGAACGCTCCTGAAGGCCCTTCTTCAGAGTCCCGCCAGGGACGTTGCGATGCACCACATTCTTGCTCGGCGCTCTTGTTCTCACAGCTACACTCGTCATGAGTACATTAATAAAGATACAGACTTATACTGTGAGACTGTCTTTGTTTTTATTTTTTAATTAGAAGAGTTCTCAACAGTTATCCATGTAAACTCTTCCAAACTACAAACAGAAGGTGGGGGCCGAGATAGGTGTGGTGCCTGTTGCAAAGCCCCACCGCTCGTTGGTGGCAGGGCTGGGACTAGGCCCAGGTGCAGCCTCTCAGTTCTCTTGTAAGTGAGCTGTGCAGAGTGACTGCTGGGAATTAACAAGTTTGAACCTCCCAGAAGAAGCTGTTGGACACAAATTCCTTCAGGCTCTTCCTTTCTCGGATACACTTACTAGTCAGAACACAATAAACTTTATACAAGATAATGATACTTTCATTCAAGACAAGATGAGTCTTCTGTGCCAAAGTCCTTTTTGAAAGCATTTGCGGCAGAGGATAAAAGGACCTGAAGACAGTGATTAGAAAACCTACACAGATAATATATTGACTGGAAAACCAAGTACCTATGAGGCCTGATGTGGTGGCTTTTTCTTTAAGTCTATTGTATCTCAAAGTCACTTAAAGTTCTTATAATTAAACCATTAGAACAACAAACATCCAAAATATTCTAACACAAGTGATAAGTTGCTTACGCAATTTTTTCTTCTTCAATGCGGTTAACCTTCCCTCCGACATAGATTCTTAATTTACAGTCTTTCCATTTTTTTCTGAGAGTCAAGATATAGGGGATAAGAAGTGTTAACCCTGAAAAAAAGAGTAAGTTACGACAGAAAAAATGAGTATATCTTACTGAAAGGAAATGAATGGCTTTTCATCCTTTTTCATTCCCACATTCACAGCTCCTAAATAATTTAAAGTCTTTGGAGAACACAGAAATGTTAATCTTTAACTGCTATCTTTTTCATATACCTTCCCATGCTGTTTGTTAAATTTATCAACACAGAAATTCTGCTTCCTAGTGTATATTCCAGAAAATTTTACCTCCATCATCAAACAGCCACCAAACATCAATTGTGCCTTTTCCTTGCTTCTTTTTAAATTGGGTGCTGGCTTCTACCAGCTTCTGGTTGAACTCCCCCACGTGCATAGACTGGATTGTGTTAATGCTGCTGTCTGTAATGAAAGAGAAAGCAGTATATCCATTTGTCTTTTCTAATAAATCTATTCAGAAAAATGGAGGAAGGGTCATGAATTAAAAGTTTTTTTTACTTATAGGTGAATAGTGAACTCTGTTCTCCAAAAAGGGGAAATAAAGGTTGAACACACAGTAATTTATATCACCATTAGTAGTTAAAAAAAAGAATGTTTTAACCTTTACTTGAGAATACATTTCAGAGAGAGGAAGGGGGGAGGGGAGAGAGACATCCATGTGAGAAAGAGACATCCATCAGTTGCCTCCCGTATGCTCCCCGACCAGGGATGAAACCCCAACCGAGGCATGTGCTCTGACCTGGAATCTTACCTGCAACCTTTTGATGTATGGGGCGATACTCCAACCAAGTGAGACACCCGGCCAGGGCCAAAAATTTTTGATATTGGTTTTATGGATTATTTTGAGGTCCTTAGTAATTGGTCTCAGAGTGAAATTATTACTTAGACATCGAACAATGCTAAATTAGCTAGGAAAAAAAATCCTGAGTTTCAAAAATTTCAGATATAACTCAATTCAATCATATTTTCAGATTTACTTGACAGTAGAACAAATGGTGATCAGTTTTTTTCTGGGAAGAAGCAACTGAATCAGGAGCATTCCTTCGTTGAACGATTCAATGATGTAAATCCCATGAGTGCAACTTGCCCAGGTGGCCAGGGATGATGTGCATCCTGACTGTGTGACCCTGTGGGCCTAGTGTCAGCCCGTTTTACTCCCCTGCTTTCTATTCAAGGAGTTTTGTGAAGCTAAAAAGAAAGCCATTTGAGCTACTTAAATCTCTGTGAATGAGATGAAAAACCCAAGAAATATGGAAAGACACATTTTTTTTACTTGAGTTATAATTAAGGGTGCACATAAAATACTTTAAAAATTTTTAATGCAATTTCCAATCTAACATGGACACAATGAAAGTGTTCCAGGGAACTAGGCCAGTGTTTGAATTGGACCCTTGTTTCCATTTGCCAGTAGGGATTTCTTTGCTACACTGTATATATTATTTCTTATTTTCATGTCTTTCAAAGTTGTGACTTTATTGCTTATTTCAAAGAGATGGTGTCACTGTAGAGCTTAGAGGAGAGCTGACAGCCGCTCAGAGCTTCCCTCTGATCTAAGAGGTTCTAAAGAGGCTTTGTTCTGTCTTTTGCTGTTTTCATGTTTTGGGCCTGTCCGTTCTGAAGCAATTATCTTATATTGTTTTTATCTCTCTAGGACTGCTGAGGGAGAAAGTAAGTGCATTTACAAAATGGACCAAACTCTGCCCCCACTTATGCGCACATCAAAGTGTCTAGAGGACTCAAGCATGAGCACCTGGAGGCAAAGTTGGTCTTGCTCTAGAGCTCAAAAGAGCTGTTAACCAACAGAAGCCCAGGGCAGTGCAGGGGCCTACATTAGAGCTGTGTCTGAAATTTTAGGTGTTGGGTGTAATATACAACATTATTTTGCTTTTCCAAACAATGAGACTTGTTGACTTTCAGAGGAGAACACTTTTGCCAAAAGTATTGTGATGCAGATGCAGGCTTCTAGAATAAATAACCAGTCCCCCTTCATTAATAAGGACATTAATGCCGCCCTTCTCACTGTCAGCTAAATAGTATTGGGCTATGACTTCTAAATTTTCCATTGCTTTTCCAGACCGCACTATTGAATAAAGCAGATTCAATGGCTAGTTAACTTGTCTCACAAATAAAACAAATATTGGGAAAGAAAAAAGATAATAGTTAGCATCCAGATCTTACTCTAATGTTACAGCCTTAAAGTCCTGATAATACCATCAATTTTAGATTTAAACATGTCATTTTCCTAGAAAATGGCATTTTCAGGGTAATAATACACAGTTGGCTTTCTTAATTGCCCATGCAATATTCCACATACTTAAGGGTATCTCTGGTATTTGAAGGAGTATATAAAAAATATATACATGTTATATATGTATATGTTAATTTCATCCTTGGGTTATAGTAGGAAAACAAGGAAACAAAACCAAATCTTTCCCAAGGTAGGAGATAGCCTCTTAAAAAGTCTGGATTCTGTCAGCCTAGCCCAGAAGTCTGCTAAATCTCAGTTTGATCTTGATATTTGACTTCAAGACCCTCCTACAGAAATCATCTTTCGTGGGCTGCAACACCAGTGAATGACTTCAGTAACTAGGATTATTTGTACCCAACAGAAATAAATGGTATTCTAATTTTATACCAGCAGAGGTCGCCGTGGACCTCATTAAACACAAAACTGCAGTGTTTCTGGAAAGAGCAATTTTCAAAAAAACAAAAACAACCCCCCCCCCCGCCCCCGAGACATTTGAATCAACTGTTTATGAAATTTATAGCAATACTTTTTTCATTTTCCAGTCTTCCATTCCTTGGATGTATACCTTATATTTAGATATGAGTGCTACTCAGCCACTTACCTTTTTTAGAAGTTGGTTTGGTAATGTTCAGTTTGCCAGCTTTTTTAAACAAGCCTCGGATGCCTCCACTTCCTTCCTCACTTTCATTGTCTTTGATAGTGGCTTCCAAAGCCAGCCTCTCCTGTTCTAATTTCTCTAACTCATCTGAAGAGAGAAGACAAAATCACATATTAAACTCAGAGAGAGAAAGTTTTTAGGAACACTCGTAAACTATTTTACTATTAAAATGGCATATCTGCAGTAAAATGATTATCAAAATATGATTTTTTCCTGAATGATTATTAAAAAGTAATGTAATGTCTGTAAATTATATTCAGAAAGTACATAACTACTCCCAATATAGCTCTATGTGTTAAATATAATATATGAAAGTTACTATGATTTTTTTTTGTAAGGGCTGATTAATGTCATCTTTGTTCACTTCATGCAAAACCCTAAAAGCCAGATCCACTGTACATAAGATGTTATACACTGAGAGCCACTGATTTACTGACCTGAGCTACTGAGTCAGATATTTTACCAGTGGAAGTGACAGAATTACAGAAATATACTAGTAATAGATCAGGCACACAACAATGCCTCCTGAATTGAAACACAAAATGAGAGAACAGGAATTAAGGAAAGATAATCACATCTTGTAATAAACTTTATGGGATCTGAATACAAATGACAGTGACAAATACCCACCAACGATTCTTCCCAATAAACAAAATACTTTCTGGAGTGCATGACCAAAGCGAAAGCAATAAAAGCGAAGTATATGCCTGTCTGAGTTCGAATTGCTAAAAAAGGCCTCATGACACTCGAGTCTGGAATAACAGTCAGGCTGTGCAGAATTTCCTGTCCATGGCTCAGACCCACTATCCAAACTCTGATGTTGTGTCTGGCTGCCTTGTATCTTTTGGGGATTCTGGTTGTGATGAAAAATTCCTAGCTGCTATGCAATGTGTTACATCGTTCTCTGACCTCGGCCTGCATTGGAGCAGGGAAAATAAAGACTGTAAGGGCTGTCATAGGGTGGTGCTAGAGTGATGGGCTTCCTGGCTTACAGGTAGCAAGGTGGCCCTCTTGCCAGGTCCCCTTGTCTTCTTGCCTGCTGAGAACAGAGCCTTAGAAAATGAGCAATGTTCTGAGACAGAGAGCGGAAAACCTAGATTCAATGTTACAAAACACTGGTAAGGCTCCTGCAAATGTCAACCCTTGGAGCCTGTTGCCTTATCTGTCTGGGAAGCAAAGCTATACAAACTCTAGATTTATCAATTATGCACTAACTAAATCTGTCAGGACAGTCACATCCCTAGACAGTGCTGTTATTCAGCTACGCAGAATTGTCTGGCCCCTTTCCAGGTCTTAGCAATTAATCTTTTGCCAGTGGCATGAGATGTAAGGTCAAATCACCCATGTGATTTCCCCAAAGCTTCAAAGGTTCTCAAGATCAGCAGCTATAGAAGATCTGAGAGATTAGACTGATGGTATTAAAGCTCATAGAGGAGTTTCTTACCCCTGACTTTTGAAAGGTGAACACAAGCTGCATTGCACTCGGGGTCATGACCGATTATAGCTCTGCTGCTGGCTTTCTGTGACATTAAGCAAGTCATTGACTTTTTCTATGCCTCTGATTTCCTATCTGTGAAATGGAAAACCGTAACCCTTCCCCCTTTTCCTAGCATTGCGAAAAGAATAAACAGCTCTTGCACAGTGCTTTGGAGCTCCTTAAAGAGCAAGGCAACCAGTACATTCTATGGGCAGTGCATTTATGCGGTTCCTGGAAATAGGCTTAGTTATGCAAAGCAAATTGAGTATTTTGGAAAGCCCGGGGGTTATTTTAGCAGTTACTATTTCTTACACACTCTCTAGGTGCCAGGGACTGTGTGCATGTTACTCCTCAGCAAACAACTCTGAGATAGTTACTGTGATTATCCTCATTTTGTGGAGGAAGGAACGGAGGCTCAGAAAGGCTGAGTAACCTGTTTGGTGTCACCCCGTACAAAGCGGTCTGCTTGATTCCAAATTGAGCATGCTTCCAGCATGGAAGACCTTTTGCTTTCAGCTTATTGTTGTTACTTTAGATTTGTCTTACTAACCTCCAACTCTTCCTCATCGGAGGAACCTGAACACTCCCAAGCACATGGCATAATGCCAAGTTAATTCCCCCAAACTATAGCCCCTCAAACATATCATTGTAAAAGGAGGGACCCTAAAGACTCAGGTTGCCAGAGTGGCAACATCAGCAGCATCCTAGCCCTGGGTGACAGCCCCCCAGCTACTATTACCTACACTTTGGGGTGCTGCAGGGGCAAGCTGTAGAGTAACCGTTCTTTGCAGGCATCTGGAAGGTGCGTATTTGGGAGCTTCTTTTGGGGCAACTATAAGGATAGGTGGGGAGGGGGTTCCTTTGCTTTCCTTTTTTTGGCTGGCTCCAGCACACCTTGTGATTAGCCAGTTAGTTGCCATGTTCTCTGTCCTCTCGTTCAGACAAAGGAGAACAGAAGATAAATACTCCTTTGTAACAGAGTCAGCTGGCCGGCTGCACTGGGAGCTGCTCCAATACTTTGCTTGAAGAAAGGTACACAGTCCCTTCTGGACAGAGCAAACTGCAGACTCCCAGGCCTGAGAGACAAAACCAGACTTTGCTTGAATGAGTCAGCGTCGACAGTTCCCTCAAAGATGACAGAGACCGAGTCTACTCTAAAGGCTAAAATCTGCTTGCTTGGTTGGCCATCTGGAATTTTCAGATCCACACAGTGGTGTGATCTTTGACACAGTGATTTTGCAAGTTTTCATTAGAGAGGATTCTTAATTATTCACTTTGTAGGTGATCTAAGCCCTCCTTCTGCGTACTCCCTCCTCGTCTCATTTCAGCACCAAGTAGAAGGGATGTTTTGATGCTCTGTTCTGAATTACCTATCTGGCGCACTGCTTGCCTATGTTTGCATAAGAAATCAAGAACAGACTGTCAACCATTTCTTTCAATGGGAGTGGGCAAGCTGACCATTAGGCACAGGCGGGTGAGCAAGGTAGAATGAATGGAGAAATATAAACTCATTTCCACAAGGCTGACAATTAAAATGCCTCATTTCATCACTGTGACCATCACTATCATTACTACTTTTGTGATCTTCAGGGTTCGCAGAGCCCTTTCCACATGGTATCTTATTTGACCCCCACGCCAATACTGGGATGCAGGCAGAGCTAGTACTATTCTCCCCCTTTTAATGTAAAGGAAATTTGGGTTTAGACAGTTTAAGTGACTTGTCCAAGACTGTACAGCTGGCAACCCGAGCCTTCTGCTTCCAATTATGGTATTCATCCCTCTTTACCATCGTTCTTCAGTGATATGCTCTGACTGCCAGTATCTCCTGTTGAAGGAATACCCAAACTGCTTTTTTTTAAGAAACCACCTCCAAATTCCCCAATCAGAGAAATTTATGTAATGTTCTACATTTCCATAATAGGCTGCCTCAAACTTTATCACTGGGGGAGACAGAATAGTTTTAAGATACATGTCTGTTTTACTTCCACTAGACTGCAAACTCCTGAAGGGTAGCTTAGGTTCTATTTTATTACCACCATTTACTGAGAGTTTATTTTGTGCCAAGTATGGTCATACTTCAGTACTCATTGGTTTCAGAACTTGTTAAACCCTGTACTTGTCACATTTTGAAGAGAAAAAACTGTTCTAGCACTCAGGACTTGTGCAGGACTCAATTGCACTTGTTAGAGCTTGTATTGTATGAGTCACGACATCGTCCTGCAAGAGGAAATGCTTCATCACTCGATGAGTACTGAGGTACCACTGCAAAATGTCAAACACTTGGCCACTGTTGTATCTTCTAATGCAAAATAATAAATCTATAAGGTAGGTATTATAATTATTCTAATTTGAAAATGTGTGAAGTAAATGTGAAGTAAAACACAGAGGATAAATAATTTGACTAAGGTCACACAGCCGAAGAGTGTCAAGCTGGGATTTGAACCCAGGCCTGTCAGATTCCAAAGCCTATGTTTAGACTTCACATACTCCCTCTCTCACGTTCTTAGTTGTACCTGCACTTCTTTGCTAGTGCCTACCACCATAACAAGTACTCAAGAATAGTTTGTTGAAATAAAAGGACAGGTCATTGCTATTAATACAGTTCAAAAACATTTGAAAGTATTTTCTCCAAAAAGGGAGAAAAATAAGGGAATAGTTGTCAGGGATGGGGTGTGTAATGTGTGTGTATGGTGGGGTAGGTACAAAAGACAATGTTGGAAAAAAGTGGAGTTAATGCTGTACACAGAGGTATAAAAAGAGGTGCTAACAGGGGTTAATGGTATAAACCAAGCTAAACAGTGACCAAAAGTGGGATTAATCAGAAGAATGAGAGGCAAGGAAAGGGTTACCACCTGAACATCAGATGGGAATTTTAATCTTCCACGTGAGGTAATTCCATACTCCATCATAATTTGCAAAGCCACAATACTAGAGAGAGAGTGTAAAATCCTGCCCTTTTCTCAAGCCAAGATTAAGAAAACCCCTGAGGTTGGATAAAAAAGTTTAGGCTTTAGATTCTCTCTGTTGAGTGAGTTTCTAATCAATTGTTCATACATAACCCCAAACAGTTCTTATAGTAAAAACACAGAGTGAATCCTGAGCTGCATCTTCATGAAAATGCCAAACCACTTGAATAGTAGTTATTTTATTTTCAAGTGCTTTGTAAGTTGATGATATGGTAAATAGCTGGAGTGACCATATTTTGAAATTCAGTTTAGTTGCCAAGATTGCCTCAAGTGTTCCATCCTCAGTCTTTTTTTTTTTTTTTTTTTTTAAAGATGCCCTTTGGAAATAGGCAGGAGTCTACACAGCACAATTCACTTTGAATCTTAAGGCGAGAGAGTAGTCAGTTATCTCACAACAGAAGGGAGAACAGGGAAACTCCTTGAGGAATTGCATCCCCTCCCACTTTGCGGCATTTTTTTCTTTATTAATTATTAAATCATGCCTCTTCCTTTGGTCAATCATCTCAAAGCTGTAAATGCTCACATGAATCAACATGCCATCGCACGGGCGAAGTCTAGTTGCACCAAAGGCAGGAAGCAACCCTGCAGCGGTCACCTCCCAATGAAGTAATTATTTACTACACTGCCATCTGTCTCTATTTTGCTAAGCCACTTCCTCAGACACAGCAGAATCCCTGTGCTCTGAGATGGCCATAAATTGTGCAGTTCTTACATGGACTACTTGACCGCAATTATCGCAAATCACATGTCATCACTTGATTTCCTACCAGAATAATTTGAACTCTGTGTTGAAGTTGGCAAACTTGCTAAATACCTCTGGGAAGTGAACAATATGAAATGCCAAGATTTTTATGTTGTTGGGCAATAAATTAATTTATTAAGAGACACTATCAGTCACCCGTATTGGATGAGTTGCTGCAGAGTACAAGTTAGAATGTTATGAGTATCGATCTTATTTATACAAAAAGTTATTCTCTTCATATAAGCCTGTGGCACAGAATAGAAATAATTGTCATTAGCAAGCAAATTACCTTTGAAGTTGATTTCTATTCACTGCTTTATTAACTACAGTGTATGGGCACTCTGAATTGCTAATATTTCCTTTAAATTATAATCTGTGATGACACGTTGGTGCCTGTGTTGGAAAAGCTATGATGATAATCATTAACATAGTGTAATGCAATACTTAAGATTTATCAGGCTTTTATTAAGCCTTATATTACAGTATAATATAATGAAACACAAGCTTATTTCTCCCAATTCAAAATCTAATATGAGGGTTGTGCTATAAATTAAATAAACTTCAAAACAATGTATGGAAATTTAGCGTAAAGTTAATTTCTATCATTATGCTGTTGTTTTTCTGCATGTTCTTCATGTATTTGTGTAATATTGTTTTTTTAACCTATGTAATTGGTACTTATAATTATTTTATTAGCATCCAACTGTACTTTCCCTTTCTTGACTAAGAAAGCAGAAATATTTCAAACATCAAAGTTGATATAAATCAGATGCTTCCCTTGGGAAATTAAAAGGGGATGCAGTTCATTGCCAGGATTCCTTCAGAAATACTACATGCAGAATGAGCTTCTGTATTGCTTTACAGAGCTAAATTGGTGGTGATCTTGGTGGATGGAGTAGTGAGGGGTGGGAGCAATATTTTTAAGCTACATCACACCTTTCAGTTTGAAGAGATCCACATAACATACAAAGCAAAGATGTAATCTAAACACAATTCTTTGTTGTATTCTCACTGTTTAGATGGAAAGACATTACAGCACAAAAGGCAGACAAAATTAAATAAAATATAGAAATTTAACAACACAACAAGTCTCAATAGTAGGTTCTTATACTTGTCCTCAATGTGATGTCTGTCTTAACACAGACAGGCTGCCCCTCTGTAGGGTTTTTGAAGAAATAGGTGGAAATAGCCTTGTTCCACTCCCATACCTCAGATTTTATCATTGTCTCTCATTCTGTATGTTGCTGTCTTCTCTAGCCTTGCTTTTTAAAAGGTAGAATAGTGCTTCAGACAGACATGTTTGAATCTCAGCTCTACCAACTACTAATATTCTTGTGAATCTTGGGTAAGTTTCAATTTCATTGGTTGTAAAATGGGGCTAATGATCGGACTTTTCTCACAGGGTAGTGGGATGACAGATGTCATACGTGTGAACATGAGACATAATACATAGCACATAGTAAATACTCAAAATTTTAGATATTGTTGCTACTAGTATATTAAATTCAGCTAGGAAGGAATATATATATATGTATGTATGTGTACATACCGAGAGGGAGTTAGTATATCTGGTCTCTAAATGTATTTTAAAAGGTTCATAAAAACAAAAAGGGGTCATGGAAAAGGAAGACTGAAGGTACCACAGATAACCTTTATGCTACAATTTTGCATAGGATGGACTCTATTCTCAATTTTTTAAAGCTTTTTGTACATAATCATAGAGCATACATATCACATGGTGATTCTTTATCCTATATAAACTGTTAATTCCTAGTTACTTCTTCCATCTCCGCTTCGCCCCTCACAATACACCAGATGGTTGCATGAGAAATTCACCTAATCCACTCGTTTCCTTCTGTGGTGATAGAGACAATCGTGAAATGGCCAAACAGAATCTGGACCCATCAGGCACCAGCACTCACAAATCCCTGGCAGGCTTTTCCTCTGTATTGGACCTACCCAGCAAAATCATGATCCTCTTGTACCCTGGAGGCCAAATGCTTCTAAATGGTAACTGAACAATGAGAGAAATTGCTCCAACTTCAAAAAAGGAATCGAGACTAATGTGCACAATCTTCCTCAAAACCACTCGTCCAAAACCACATATTCCATGAAGCATTGTTCTTCTGTCTCAGGTCAAATTCCATCCATGCCTTTCCCCTAATTCCTCCTGCTCCTCCAGGATTTTACTCCATGGGTCATCTCCCTCCCTCCCACACACGTTTTTTACCTTCATCTTCAACCTTTCCTACTCTGTTGGGCCTATTTTCTCAGCCTGAAAACATGGCTCTCTCTCTTATCCCAAGGTATATAGGTCTCTCTATAGTAAATCTCCTCAACATCTAAACTTCTTAGAATGGCTGCCCACATCCATATTCTCTGCTTCATCATCTCATATTCTCACCTCAACCCATTGTAATCTGGATTCTGTCAACACTGGTCTACAGGAATTATCCTCATTAAGATTATCTGTGCTGTGTCAATTACATTTTATTCATTAACCTTTCTGGTGTATTTGGCAATGTTGATGATTCTCATTTTGAGCGCTCTGCTGCCATGACACCGCAGACTTCTGGTAGCTCCTGGGAGCCTCTCTGATAGCTCCTTTCCTGACCCTTCTATAGGGCTCTTTTTCTGTGCCTTGGGGCTCTTGACTACACACACTCTTTTGGCTATATTTTCCAATGTCATAGTTTCAATTTTCACCTTCACTATGATGTCTCCTGTATTAATTTAGTAGGGCTGCCATAACACACACCACTGACGTGGTGGCTTAAACAACATACATTTTTTAATCTCTTTTTATAGGGACATCAGTCCTATTGGATTAGGGCCCACCCTAACAGTGTTATTTTACCTTACCTCTTTAAAGATCCTATCTCCAAATACAGTCACATCTGAGGTTAGGACTTCAACATACAAATTCTTGGGGGGTACAATATGGCCCATACTATCTCCTAAATCTACAGCTCCAGCTCACGCTTCTTCTTTAAGACCAGGACTGTCTCATTGCCTATTGGACATTTCCAATAGAATTTCCCACAGGAGATTGTTTCAAACTGAACCAGGCATCCCTTTATTAAACCTACTCTTCCAGTGTTTCCCATTTCCATTGATAGAGCCACAAGGAATCTTTTTTTACTCCTTTCTCTCCCATGTCCTATCCATCCAACCAACCAACCCCCAAATGCTTCTCTTTGTACCCCCAAAGTACTTCTGTTCTTCTCTCTCTCCATCCCTAACTCTAGTTCAGTCTGTCTTTGATTAATATGAAAATTTTTTTTTATTTCTATCTCTGTTTCCATTCACAGTCCTTATTGAATCCATGCCAATGTAATTGAAAGGATATAAGATTTAAAACCTAAATTTGACCACATTACTCTTTCACTTAAATCTCCTCAACAGTTCCTCATTGCTTATGGATTATGATCCACATTTTTTAATATGGCAAATGAGGTCTTTTAAAATCAGGACCTTATATCAACAGCCTCATATTTCATTGTTGTCTGCTTCAAATTTTCACTTAATTAACACTAATCTCCTTTTGGCTCTTCATACAGTGCATTCTTCCATATTGCCATGTCTTCACACCTTTGCTAATGCTCTCCTTTTTGCCAGGAATGCTGGTACCCAAACTCATTTTTTTCTATCCCAACATTGCGTAGTTAACTCCTACTCATCCACTAGATCTCAAAACCAAGGTAATTTCTTCCAGGAAGACTTCTTGGAGTCAGATACCTCTTTTCTTTTTCCCGCAATACCCTATTATACCCATCATCACACTCATCATATACTCATTTCCAGTACTAGGCTGTGAGTCTATTGAGGACAGAGACATAGGTATCCATACCCAGGACTGATACCTATGTCATGGCTGCTTCATAAGAGGCACCCCCCAAAATCTTTTGTTTTAGTGCCATGTCATCAGTGGACTGTGCTGTGAAGTTAAGTAAAAGAAATAAGCCATGGATTATTGTCCTATCCTAATATCTCAGTGACTTTTTAGATGTGTTTTTTATTCTATACACAAGAGAGTATATATTTAAGACTACACAAGTATAGTATAGTTGACCCTTGAACTACCCAGGTCAATTGAATTGTGAGATTCAGATGAACCATGGTCAATTGGACTGTGCAGGTCAATTAAAAAAAAAGAACCCTTTATAAGTGGACCTGCTATCCTCTGTAGAGAATCTGAATTAGTGTTTTTTCCTCTAATTTAGATTAGTGATTCATGGCATGATGCATTCAGGCTCATTTCCATGTTTGTTGTAAACTAGATCATAGACTCTTAAAAACAAAATACATGGTTTTCCAAGGAAAGAATTAATCTTCATTTTCTGAAACATCTTGTAGTTTAATTTACCAAAGGTGTTTATAGTAAGTGCTGCTGGCTTTGTGGTTTTGTGATAAGAAAAATAATTGATGACAGCTATGGATTATTCTATATTTCTGGTTAGCAGGACTAAGGCTACTTATGTTAGCAATGGGAAAAACACTGGGAAGCATACAAACCTCAAATCAGCACAAGAGGGTAAACTCCGTTGTTAGAGGGGTTTGTCTATACTGTGCCCTGCTCTATCCCTAGCACCTGGTACTCCATGCCAGCCACTAAGCAGGGGCTCAATAAATATTTGTTGATTGAATAAAGAAAATACCTACCTTGTACCTGAAGAACCTGAGAGATGTCAAACCCTTGGCTGATTCTGACTATGACCACACCAATCTCAAAATCAAATGCATCACTGAAAGTGGAAGCAAAGTGGTTAGTGATTTAAATGACTCTTTAATCCTCAAATTCTGGACAAATACTGAACTTGCTTCTAGGATTTTAATGTAATTGACCTAAGAAAATTTACTTTAGAATACAACCAAGAGCTGATGACTTTCCTTTTTAGTCTGTTCTCCTTTTATACCTTTTTAAAAAATACATTCTGGGTAAAGATAATTAACTCTTTTCCTCTGGAACCAATTTATTGAAATATACTATCAACTAGAATTCTGGTTAAGAGCTTGTAACACACTTTAAAAAACTGATTGTTTTCTACTGTAAACAAAACAATCATTGAAATATTTAAATCAGAAATTTTCCAGACTGCAGAACATCCTTTGAAATTATCAACCAAATCTCTTCACCCATTGAGGAGAAATCCTACAACATTCTGACATCAAGGTCCCAGTTAAAAATGTCTCCAGTTCCTCTAAGGAACTTTCCCCACTGCCTTGGGACAGACACAATGACAGAGCAATGCTTTTTCATGGCAACCCTATGCTGGTGCAGTTGATGGTTGTGCCTTCTCTACACCCAATCCCATAGAATTAGATTATTTAGATGGGAAAAAAAGGCTTGCTTTCTTTTGTCTCCATTCTTGTAGAATTTTTTTTCTCTGCCTATAAATATGGGGCAAACCAATTAGTACTTTGAGTTAATTTACAGTTCTCTCCTTGGGAGTTCCTTTGTTCACTCTCTAAGGATCTGCGCCCAGAACCATTTCCACTGGGTCGCCATCCTCCCTGCCCCCAGAAACAATGCAGTTTGTGATGAACTCACTACATACAAACAAAATTCCAATAGCTAACGTAAACCTGTATTTTCAAATAATGATAGAAAGATGTTCAGTATAATATGAATATGCATGTAAAATTCAAACCATTAAGTGATGTTCCCTTCACACAATAGACCCATTCTAGCAAAAGTTGCCACTAATTCTTGATAAACCTTGTTTCTAATCATCCTAGATTATAAAACGTAGACAGTGTGTTCCTCAAAAAAACAAAAACAAACAAAAAAAATTGGATGCTGTGTTAGGTGGAATAATTTCAGACCTCCAAAGACATTCACATTTTAATTCTTGGAGTCTGTGAATATATTATTTCACAAAAGGGACTTGGCAGATGTGATCAGGGTAAGAACCTTGAGGTGGGGAGGGTAGCCTGGATTGCCTGGTGGGTAAAGTGTAATCACCAGTGTCCTAGAAAGTGAAATTGGGAGGCTGAGGAGGAAGTTAGAGTAATGTGATGTGAGAACGATTTGACCCTTCAAGGGCTTTGAAGATGGAGGAAGAGAGCCAAGAGCAATGGGCAGCCTTTAGACCCTAGAAAAGGCAAGGCCATGAATTCTCCCCTAGAGTCTCCGGAAAGTAATACAGCCCAGCTTGTACCTCGAGATTAGCCCAGTGAGTTAGTGTCAGCCTTTTAACCCACACAACTGTAATCTAATAAATATATGTTAAGTCACTAAGTTGGAGATAACTTGTTAATGCAGCCAACCAAAATTAGTACAGATTCTCATTAAAATTAATCCATACTTAAGAATAATACAGGCACTTAAAACCTTTTATTCAAGGAAAAATTGTAAAATACTAAACTATTGTAAAAATATCCTTATGATAACAATAATACTGTGCTTGCTTTAAGTCATAAAACGAAACAAAACCAACATGTTTAAAGAGGAATCCAATGCAATATGGTTGTATGGTTGTCTTCCTTCTATATCAACACCATTGCTGTGTAGGAAGGCCATTTAACTTTACCAAGCCAGCTAAATTTTACACTATTACAAATTTGAACCACTTTAACACTGAACTTTATTATCAAGAAGACCAATTAGAATTTGATGTAAGTCAGAAGTATCTTTGGATTAATATTACTAGGTTTAATTATTTTGCTCCCTTACAAACTCTAGACTGGGATGGTGTGGAGGTTGGAAGACGATTCCAGTTAATTTTGTATCAAATAATGGACTCTATGGCGATAGAGTTACATATTTCTTCTCATAGGCTCCACCTTTTTTTCATTCCCAAACGGGAAGATAAAATATTTTCCCCTCCACCCCTTCCCCTCTGCCCAAAGGTAAAAATGAAATTGTACAGAAGAATCTGGATAACAGAGAGCAGATCTCAATCCATTTCCAAGAATGTCAGGTCAGCAGCTGACTGTGATTCTAAACGTATCAAAATGCTATTTGCTGAGCCTGGAAAAATTCTCACCCTGACCACCTGATTAAGGCTTAACCTACTTAACCTGGAGCACCAGCAGAAGCCAAATGGCAGTATGTGTGTTTGGACTTCATATGTTTGCAGAACACAATTGAGGAGTATGCATGTAATGCATAGGTTCCCTGTGTTGGGAAGAGTAAGTGAATTTATGTTTGATCAAGTAATGCATACACTTTCAGAAGATAAAAATTATTTTCTTACGCTTCTTTTTAGTAGCACTAATATTAGAATGTGCCTATCATGTTGCCTAAATCTCCCTCAACTGATGATAAACGTGGTGCTCATTCTAGCAGCGGCCAGAGGACATAGAGTCACTGAATATGTGCTTGTTTGATGAGTGAGGATTTTTTTTCTTGTGTGTTCTAGACTTTTCAGACCTCTCAGGGCATGTTCTTTACCCTGTGATATAAAATCAGAGTGAAATCAGCCCCGGACCAAGAAAATCTTCCATTTTCAGAGTTGTCGACACAAGAGATGGCTCCTGGCAGAACTAATTTTGCTTCCCTTGAGGTGGATCTGGTTATTTTCAAGCCTGGAAGAAAGGATCAATTTCCTAGAATGGTGACTGAGGGCACTCTGTGCCTCTCGGTAACTGTATCATTTGTTTTCTCTTATGCAAAGGGAGGAACCAAACCAGGTAATACTTAGGGATTATATGTACTTCTGGAGACAACATAACATATGGTCAGGAGTGTAAATTTTGAATTCAGATGGTCCGGGGGTGAAGTTCCGGTTTTGTCACTTACACAATTTGGTCATTTTCTGCACTTAATTTTTAATGTCTGTGCCTTTACTTATAAAATGCGAACGATAGTAGTACTCACTTCAAAGTCTTCTTGTGAGAATTAAATGGGAAAACTCACGTTGAGGACATGAGGCTGGGGGCTGCTCATCCTTTAATGGTAATTGTTATTGCCTTTACCCCAAATCTCTTCCAATACTTAAGCATAAGATGTCATGTACCACAGCATTGACAACTCACTTTAATTGCATAAACTAACACCGCCATGTGGCAGAGACAACTGGTATATGGGACCCTCGTATCAACAAAGGGAAATCTGAGGCTTTGGGCTAGCAACTCTGTTACCCAAGACCCAGAAGAAGATGATGACTGAATTGGGCACACCAGCTAATCCAAGATTCCAGTTGCTTTAAAAGAAAAAAAAATCCTTTCTTACCTAGCTGTCCTTTGCTTTTAATCTCATAAATAGGTTATAAGATTGTAACTCTCAATATTTACCTTTTTTTTGGACATCCAATTTCCCCCACTGTCCTTCCACTGACACTATGATTCTTTCAAGTTCTATTATTGGCAGTGTGTTTTCACTTGGGTAAAGAACTCAGAGTGCCAGGGGAATGCCCTCCTGTCAGGCAATTTAATCTAGCATACCAGTGTCTGTTAGGTGCCGTCCTGGTTGATGCTTTATAAACAAGAACACGTCTTGGAAGCCATCACTTACTGTATGATTCCCACGTAGTTCTCAATCTCTTCTAAGGGAGCCTTCCTCCAGTTTTTTTTATATCCAATCACCAGGGTGTTGGGTTTCATTCTTCCTAAGCCTGAGGCCTAAATACAGGAGATAAACACATGGGTAATCCTTACCACACCAGAGAACCACCACTGCAAATGAAAAATACTATGTCGAAGAGCACTGAAGTAATGTTCTGATGATTCTGAAGATTAGATTACACTTTAGTGCATGTCCTTCACGCCCATACCCAAGCATAAAATAGAAATACTAGTTCTAAATCATCTCAGCCATAAATGTAGTTTTTCTAAATTAGCAGTCATTTGCATTTCTTCTGACACAGTCATTAAAATGGTTCAATAATTTAAAATCAAGTGAGAGCTGGCTTAACGGTTGGCATGCGTGTTGTAACTTACTGGTTCAAAGCTCATTTCTACCTGTTATATCCATAATGTCTTTAGCAATAAAATCCATGTTTAGAAAATTCTTATATACAAAAAATCACTGAAACTTCTACTTACATTATTTATTGAAGACTAGCTGGGCTATGTTTCCAGAACCTAACTCTTTTATATGATAGTATCATTAATAGCCATCTTCCATATCAGAAAGTTTCATTCCCTCATTAAATGACAGGATATGGCTTCCAGTTAATTAACTTTAATCCAGCAAAGTACTATGCTAGGTGCTGTGGGCAAGAGTGAGGCATGTTTTTTGGCCTTAAGAAGCTTAGAATAAGGTGGAAGAAATAAGATATACACAAATCATTTTAATTCAAGTACAAATGCAGCAGGAACTCATCTGGAAGCATAAAGGAAGAAACCTTGAATTCCAGATGAGGATTCATGAGGAGAGGTGGCATTTGTTCTGGGTCTTGCGGGTTGGTTAGATATTGACAAGTCAAGATAAGGAGAGCAGTGGGAGTACAGGAAGGACATCCTGGGTCATGGGAACAGTGAAACAAATGATCAGAAGAGGAAATTTTAGAGAGGACAGGAGCAAGTGGAAGAAGACAGACACTGATGGAGGGTTCCTAAAATAAGTCCTGCTTCTACCGCATTTGGTGTATTGCTCTTAGAAACGTTCAGGTAACAGAACAACTTGTTTGGCCCTTGGCAGATGTATGGCACTAAGGATGGAGACTTTTCCGTAACTCCAGTTTGGAAATGTAACTCATACCATACTTTCTTAGATGCAAAGAAGGCCTTATCCCAAATGGTATCATTGGCAGTATTCCCCTTTATTACCATTCCGTCCTTCCCTTTGTCATGACCCCTCTGTTCACTTTTCTTTGAAAAACTCACGAGAACAAATTTATGCATTGTCATTTTTTTAAACAATTTCTTCTGGATTAGCATATGAATTGTTTTTCATACGTATGTCTTTTCTCTCCCTGATCTTATTCTATGTCTGTCCTATTCCCAGTGGAAATTTTTATTATTTTTCCAATCTCCTGTGATAATTTTACATTAAATGTGTAACCTTCCCAGCACATTTAACCAAAGAGCTACTGAAAATTAGCTCAGTAATGAAGGAAAACTCAGCATCTTGCAATGACCTCTATTTCTGTGGTTTAGCCAATTAATAACAGATGAAAAGAGGCTCATTGGGGGTAATAGGACCTTCAGAAACTGTTTCTCTGCATATGCAGCCACTTTACAAGTGTTCATCAGGGATATTAGTGACAAGAATACATCAAAGACTCTGAATCTCCAAAATATTACAATTTAATCGATAGTTTTCTTTTCTGCCTTCATATACATCAGAGTTACCTGGATGGAGTTTGGAATTTTGAGTCGCTTGTGTATGGCGTCTCTGAAAGCTAAATAATTCATTTGGTATGTGTTGAATAGATTCAGGGCTTTTCAACCATGTTAATGCCAAAATGATTAGAAACCCAATCTTTTGGATTATTTTAAGGAAACTCTGGCATTCTAAATTATGAAGATCAGAACATGGGAATGGTTTTATGTACTTACTATAGGCAGGGAAGAAAAATGAAAGAATAAGTGAGAAAAGATGGGAGAACTGTGGGCTTTAGTGTTGATCCACACAGATTATTACATTTTGTTCCACATTCTGGAAATAATTTAGAAGGACAGAGAGATTTTTTGTGTCCAGATCATGATGATGCACTTATTTAGCCCAGCAGCTGCCCTTACACCATTTGCAAAAGAAAAAAGATAGAGAATGCCTGATTCGAGCATTTCTAGATGCAGAAATAGTTTGATGTTTTAATAAGATGCCGAATGTCATCAACCATCAGGACAAATTGCATTTCAATAACTACAGGGACAGAATGTATGCTGTTGGCTAAAAGCAACGTCATTTTCCATTTCCAGTGTATCACTCATAGTTCATGGTAACAGAACCTCCTTGCTTTTGTTTCAGCTTTGACTGTCCCCAGGAATTCCAAACGAATTCCTTAACCATCTGCAGTGAGCTCTCATGTTGGAATGCCTCAGTAGAGCCACTTGCTCTGGGAACTTCATTAACATGCAGTGCTAATTGTCTTTTGCCTCTGTACTCATTCCCTCAATGCTAGCCTTACCTGAAGGAGACTTCGGACGCCATCCCTGAAACAGTCTGCTGCCACTGCAGCATAAAAAGCCTTGATTTTGTTCTTTATAAGCCAGGCCTGCTTCTTCGCCATGCCACTGTTCATCTCTTTAACACACAGCTTGCGCGGTCCCTGGATGACACAGTGAAGTATTGGTTAGAAGCCCTGTTCTTATACATCACTCCGCTGTTGCTCTCTAAAAGGCAAAAGTAGCTGGCAATGCCCCACTGGGTTAAGAAATGGGGAAAAGGGAAAACACCGCAATAAGTGGGGTTCACGCAGATTGAGCTTTTTGGAGAGGATCTGTGCTACTCCCATTACTCACTGTCTACCTAGAATGTCTAGATGTATTAATATCTGCTTAATTAACGGCTTCATGTGGAATGACAGAAAGCCAATTAAGTGAAAAGAAACAGGTAAAGTTAATTTTAATAATATATGTTATTTAATGTAATATATTCAGAATATTAGGTAAATAGTAAAACCATGATTGAAGAAGTTCAGAATAAATATAAAATAAACCTTGGCCTCAATAGTGAGAACCACTTTTAAAAACACCAAATTAGAGTTAGAGCCCAATTGCAAGAAATGGATGGCCATCTTGGGAACCAGAGCATGATGATTTGCAAATCCTGCCATGGACTACTATGTCTTGACAATTTCATTAGGTTCATCAGTTGCTTTTTGTGTGTGATAAGGATACCCTTGTATCACTTTTTCCTGTGTAATTTTAACAATCTCCCACTCAGATAAATCAGCATTTCCCATTCAATGAATTTGGTGGGAACAAAAGCTCACATACCTACAGCATAGAAAGAATAGAAGAGATTAAGAGAGAAGGAGGCAGGTCCTGTCCTAGTAGATGAAGCATTTTATAATTTCAAAGTTTGAGTTCTGGAAACTCATTTTTAATTAAAAATTTTATTCTTGTTTCTTCTACCTTAAAGGTCCAAGCTGGCTTTTCCTTGCATGTTTCACATCAATCCAAAAGATATTTCTGATTATTTACTATGTACTGACAGGGTACAAATCCATTATTTTCCTGGGAAATTATTTCAATTCATGGGGAGATTTCGAATTTTGTTGACTTGTTTTAGATTTCTTACAATCCACCTGGAATCTTGATAAAATGCAGTGTGTATATCTGGAATGGGGCTCAAAATTCTGCATTTCTAATAACTCCCAGGTAACATGGATCCTGCTGGTCCTCAGACCGCACTTGGAGTTGTAGTCGTAGGGGGTCTTTGATTTGAGAGGAAGGGCTTTGGATGGATGAAAAAGCTAGCAGTTTTTGTGGCCAGACAGAACTGATTTAAAATCTAAGCTTGGCCATGCTGGAGGTAATTGATGATTTCTGAGTTTTTAGATACTACTCTGAAAACAGGGATAAAAATCTTTATTCTGCAAAGTTGTTTTAAGTAATCATGGTAAGTCCTGAGTCCAAGGTGGATTTTCATTATCTTAACTGAGTGCTCACAACCTCATTGAAGCCCTTGACCTAATTCTACAACAGAGATGAAAGAGGGCTGAGCTGGGAACCAGAGTGTTGGATTGAGGCGTGGCTCTGGCACTGACTAGCTGATACCCTGGATATGCCATTTGTCCTCTCTTGATGTGGGCTATATGTTTAAAAGAATAAGGAAATTATCTAAGTTATCACTGCCCACAATGATAGCCCTTATCTACACGTTATTATTGAGCATTTGAAATGTGGCTGGTCCACATTGAGATATGTTGGAAATGTAAAATGCATACTGAATTTTGAAGCCTTAGTATGAAAAATAAAGTAGAATATTTCATTTATAATTTTATATTGATTGCACTTTGCATAGAGAGAAAGAGCATGATGACAGATATGGGGGAAGGTAAGAGGTGGAGGGATTGAGTGAAAAGGACAAAGGACTCAAGGACACGGACAACGGTGTGGTGCCCGGGGGAAGACGGTCTAAGGGGACCAAATGGGAGTCAAAGACTTAATATCCTGAATACATTATTTTAAATAAAATATATTATTAAAATTAACTTACCTGTTTATTTTTACTTTTTAAAATTGGCTACTAGAAAATTTGAAACTGTACTGTAGTATATATTAACTTTCCATTACACAATGCTAGATGATCTCTGGGTAACATCTACTTCATTATTCTATTTAAATTGGATCAGATCCTTTATGTACTTATTTTTACCAGGATATTTTCTAGAACATATGACAACTTTTCAAGACTGTTTGAATGACTTACACTAAAGTTAAAAAACAAGACCCTTTAATGAAGATGCGGAAGGTAAAGCTATGGAAAGGGCAGTTATTAAACCAGAAAACAGTCTAAGGAAAGATATGTCATTATTGGTCAAATTTTGCTCTAGGTTCTAGGCTGTCAATGTGTTTTGAACCACTAGTCCTTCTGGGCATTCTAGACTCTGTCAACTTCGAAAGAAAGAAGGAATATTATATTCACATAAGCTCAATGAGAACAACAGCCATGAAATAGAAGAAAAACCAACCGCTAGGAAAGGTATTGGACCTTCAGTGTATTGAGTTGTGCCACAATGACTGTGAACCCCTGGGGAAACTCATATTTATTTAAATAAATACAGTGTAACAGATGTCTATTTGTAACACAGAAATCCATATTAAACATTAATTGTGACAGAGAGATTTACTTTAATGCCTAAATTTGCCATATTGAGAAGTCATAAAAATACTTCATGTAGAATCTCTCTTGGCTAAAAAATATTATAATATCCTTTTAGCACACTTGTTAATGTGAGGCAAGGCTTGCAATACAAATGTAAGCAAAAAGCAAACTAACAGAGGGAAGACATACTAGAAAATAATTATTAAGCATTCAAATATGTAATGGTCATAAAAATGAATTTTACCACTCTGTTAATATATTATAGAGATTAGCTTAGTTAGGATCCAAGTATGAGTACATAATTAACCCAGGATTTGAACAAAGAAGCTCTACAAATCTTAAATATATTATAACTGTGACATCTATTGAGAAAAGGGTAAAGAAACTGTACTTATTTAGTCTGGAAGTTGAAGTGATACTACAAATAAGTGAATATTATGAAAAAGAATTTGCAAAGAAATTTCAATATCATTAGGATTAAACAGAGGAATTTGGGCCAAGTGCAGTGCCTTTTCAAACTTTTATTTTTCAAAACATTAAGAGTCCTATTGCTCTGTTTATGTTTTTATTGCCACTCTGCTTAAAACTGTGGGAAAGAGAGTTTTTCTTGAAAAGGTTGAAGATAGAAGAAAAATGAGAATTTTAGTTTTCCCTGGGTTATCTATGCTTGAACTGCGCTCCCTTACAATGAGAGGAAAGGACAGGACATCAAAGGTTTAAAGAATATTAAAGAGAAAAAAATTAATCAAAATAAATTTACATCTTGGTAGACATATGTGAAATCGCTAGGAGAATACCAACAAAGTTTGTATCACACTCCTTTTGGAGAGGCAGAATTGCCATGGGGCTAAGGGGTTATAAAGGGAACTTTAGCTTGATCTGTAATGGTTTATTTCATTCAAAAAATGAGTGGAAAGATCTATGACAAAAAAATAAACGGTTGTTTATTAGGAAAAATAGAGTATAAAGCTTCTTAGGATATAAGTATGTCGCTGACATACTACATGGTAATTCAAAGGAGAAAAGTAGGCAGCATTTTAAATCACCACGCTGGATTCCTTAAATAGGATCCCCAAATTTGTCTCGATGAAGGGTCCCTCATTTGAAATCTTTAGGCTGTGTAGGAAAAAGGCATGAGAGAAGGAAGAAGCTCTGACAGGAGAGTGTAAGACTGGGATAGCTGGAAAGGTACAGTGTAATAATAATTCTCTTCATATCAGTTTCAGCAGCGTCGAGGGCTATGACATGATGTCCTTTAAAAATGCCTTGGTTGTGGGAAATGGCAGCTGTCGCCACATGCTTCCATCTACCCACCAGCACCGAAATGCCAGTGAGGTCTGAATCTTGTCCCTTCCTTGTAGTGTACCTGCACCTCAAGCTGGCACTTCAAATACTGAAGGCCTCCAGAGGGACAGAGCACAGAGCCTTCTGTACTCTGATTAGTCATGTGGGAGCATATTATCTCCTTCTGTCGTTATCAAGCTGTTGGTACCTAAAAAGTCCAAGATCCAGTGCCTGGACCTGGTTTGTTTAAGAGAGGATGTTTTAGGTTTTTGTTGAAGGGGATATCCTCACCCAAGGATGTATTTATTGATTTTAGAAAGAGAGCAGGGGTGGGGAGAGAGGGAAACATTGATAACATTGATATGAGAGGAGCATTGATTGGTTGCCTCCCATACATGACACAACCAGGGATAAAACTGGATATGTGCCCTGACTGGGGATTGAACCCATAACCACATGAACCAATTGAGCCACCCAGCCAGGGCAAAGGGGATATATTTTTGAAATGTAAAAGACAACTATGGTATATATAAAAAATAATGATAATGATAATAACATCAACCAAAGTTAATTGAGCATTTGTTATTTGACAGAAACTCAGTTGAGTGCTAGAAAGCTTATCTTATATCTTATACAATTCACAAAACAACCCTGAGGAAATTGAGGCATAGGGAGACTAAATTATGTGGCTAAAGGACCCACAGCTAAAGGATGGCAAAACAGTGATTCAGATCTTGACTGCGTGTCTCAAAAGTCCATGAGCACTAGCTTCCTAGCATTAAACATTCAATTGTCATTCCTTAACATCGCTATTACTATTTAACCTTTTCTTCAAGGTTGGCCTAACCACCAACCACTGTGCTTTTGGAAAAATTTTTCTAATGGTGTGTCAACTTTCCCCACATCCAGCTTCCATCTGTTTCTTTGTAGAGATGATTGACGACTGAATGTGGAGTTGGAAAATGCTGACAGCATCTGCAGCCACAGGAGCTCCCAGAAAGTAACTAACTGGAAAGTCATTAACTGAAGCAATAACTGTGTCTTGTCCCAAAGAGAACCTCAGTACCTGGGAGTAAGTAAGACTCTTGGGCCTTACTCAAAGACACCAGCACAGTAATGTATAATGTGGTCAAATATATATGCCAAACAACCAAGGCTGTTGGTATATGGCCCAGATGCACAGATTTAGGTACCTACCTCACATGAAATGATATTCCAGAATCATACTTTTTTATTATAGTTAAAGCAGCAAAGGGTTAATTAAAAGCAATATCTTTTGTCTCTATAAAAAGACCTTTTCTCCCTTGCCAATATGTGTCTGTTTATACTCTCAGTTCATTTCTTCTGCCCTAAAGGTATCTTATTGCCTGCTAAACTAAGTTTTCTCTAAATTGCTGAAGAAGAAAAACACCCCAAACTGCTTATTTCATCAAAACCCACTCCTATATTATATTGGCCAAAATGAAATCCACTCATCCAGGGCACCAAAGTTGATAATATGAGAAAACGGTGCTTGATGAGATTGTTTAAAATCCTCTGGAGTTACAGTTGGTCATTACTTAACCTGTCAATCTTATGTAGTCAGTAGGATCCCCTTTACCTTCTACTGGATAATTGCACTGAGTCATATTGTTTGAGTTACTATCATATAAGCACCGAGAGGAAAGAGAATATGACCAACTGGCTTCATCTAGTGTTCAGAGTTCTGCCAAGTGTAAAAAGATGCTTAAGAGCTGGTCATGATGATGTGACAGATTAACCCCTGTATGATGGCACAGCTAACTGGCCCCAGGGTTGCACCGCTTCCTGACTGGTCCTGTTATTCTCCGGCAGGCATTGGGTGTTGAGGTAATGGTGCTTGATTCTAATAATGCCGTCAGGATGCAAGTCTGCTAAGGCTTTCCCCTCGTGATGTAACACAAAGCACAATTGGGTGACCTAGACTGACATCCCGGCTCTGTTGCTTTCTTGTCATTTGACTCTGTGCAGTAACTTACTTTCCTGAATCTCACTTTTCCAATCAGTAAAGTGAGAACAAGCCTTCTTTTCATTTCTGCCTCACTAGGCTGTTATGTAAATCAAATAAAAACTGTAGGAAAATGCCTTGAAGAATAGGTAACTTTTATAAAAACACGTTGAAGTAGCTAAGAATTTTGAGTGTGTGTGTGAGAGTGAGTTATGGGAATACAAGCTACAAGTAGAGGTAGACTGGTTTGGAGGACTTAGATTTGTTTTTTTGCTATAATTTTATGCTTTCTCCTCACTTTAGAGATTGGTTATCAAGCAATAATTATGGTTAAATTTTTAGCATCTCCTTTGATACCTCTTGGAAAAACCACTTAAAAGTTATTAGTCTATTACCTACTTCCTGAATAAAAAGGAATTCATTTATCTCTGAATGTTGATCTAAGACATGGGAAACCTGGTTTAATTCCCTAGATATCTATAGTATCATCAAGTTTGTCCAAATATTCAATCTAAATTCTATGTGCTCTCATTTAAGGCCATTATGTCTGGCTCTGTCCTCATCAGATAATCTATATAAGAGCACCCTCTGGCTCATTTCATCCATTTATATTTCTGTGGGCAGTTATGACCCCAAATGCCTTCATTTTATTTATTTACTTCTGTGCCAAAAGGCCATCATTTGGAAATATTTATCACTTTTAGTTGGTCTCTGATGAAATCAGAAACACATATTTTCTGCTAATTTAAATGCAGAACCACGGGCTCTTGCTAGTTCTTGCTATATGAATCAAGGAAAAGGGCTCTTGTCCAAACTGCCTTGCCATTGCTGACTCAAAGGCCATCATTTGGAAATATTTATCACTTTTAGCTGGTCTCTGATTTACATTCTCCTATCACTGCATGTACCTGTTTGGCTTGCCTAAAAATAAAACAAGGAACAGGGAGGGAAAAGCTCGTTGCTGGGATGAAGTGGCTCTTACCACAAAGACTTCACAGCATATACAAAGGCCACTGTTCTTGGTAAAGGCATGAGTTATGTCCAAGAGAGCCGGTCTTGTCATGGGTCCCCCTGTTAAGACAATGCATTGGGGCCTGGAAGTAGAAAAAAGAAGAGGTGAGAACTGATCATTGCAAGAAGCCTATGAGCTCAGAACCACTCTACTGGAAATGGCAGGTATAGGAGGCATGGGAAATGGAACCAACTCTCCCCTAAATATTTCTTGGGTTTCTCAACAGAAGTCTTGAATTATCCTACCTGTCCATCTTGCCTTCTTTGCATTCTTAGTTTAGTTAGAGACCACAAAAATGTTAACTAAGGAAAGGTGGTCTTGGGTTCCCCCCACCTTTTGTCCTCTGGACATGACCTTATTCCAAATTCCAACACAGCCTGTCCTTTTACACCCAGTATTTTCCTTCATCCTCTTTGCAAAACTTGTGTTTTTAGGGTCCAATCAAAACAAGATATAACTAATAAAGAGCTTAAATGTTACTTCTGAGAGAATTCAGTAAGCCACAGAGCATTCAGTTGAATGGAGATAGCACCAAGGAGTAAGGATTGTTGGGCATTTGGGGACATCTCTCTAAAATCATGTCACTTAGATCACCTCTTTTTCCCTATGCATGGGAGGTGATCCTTGGCACTATGAGGGTTTATAGTTGGAGGTGGGCATAGCTCAGAGTGGAAGAGAAGAAGCACTATTTATAGAAGGTAATGTCATGAAAATGTGGTTGTTTGTATGACTCCCTATCCTAGACCATACCCATAGACCATTTGTCCCCCATAAAGAAAAGCAACTTCTAATTTCAAAAAAATACCAGGATATCCAAGGAGCCAATTTTACCTGAAATTTTTTACATGGTCTTCCACTGTGGTTAATTCCAAAGCATTGTCTAAAGCACTCACGTAGGAAAGAGCCTGTGTGGAGGAGCCCCAGTTCACATCTGTGGACAAAAGAGGAATATGGCATTAAAAAAAAAGTATTGACCTTTCCTCTGTATACAGTGAATAATTTTTATAAGCAGTCACCTTCTATGATTTTCCCTTGCTATGCCAGCAGTGATGAGTACCCAAATTAGAGAATATATAATGTATTGCCTAGAAAGAGCATTGTTCTTCTAGGACGCTGTGAATTCTTAGAAGTGAGGTCTCTCTTTCTAGCTAAAGATCAGACTTGAAAGCTGCAGCCCCACAAATCCTGCTTTGTAGAGAGGTTGGGTGGTAACCAACTTGCAGATGACAGACTTGGGAACATGATCAGCCCCTGAATAAATTCAAGGGTTCTTCACAAACTCTTAAGTTGAAAAAAAAAGAGTCATTTGTATGCACAGATAGTGTGTAGCAATCTTTATACTTGGAATCCTAAAACTAAACAGCTCAGCAATTCTTACTTCTGGGTGTCCACAAATAGGGTTAATCTTTATTAAGCATTTTAGTTTGATCTTTTGGGACCTAATCTTTTTAATAAGGGAGGTAAGCACTATCATACTTTGCCTTTTTTTGAACAAATTAAATATTAGATAGATTTTTCTAAATTTTATAAGAGAAAGTCCCAGATGGGAATGTACATATTCAACCCAGATGGCAGACAGGGCCATCTCTCCAGTCTTGTTCAGGAGAGTGAAGGAAAGAGTTGGAGATCATTGTCTTGAGATAAAGAAGATTAAAACTGATTAAATGTTGACTAGACATCAAGCATTTAGCATACTTTGAGTTAATTTGTTCTTATAAAAATATTACTAGCCAATTGGATATTTATATGCAAAAAACTTGAAATGTTACTCATATACAAAAAAAACTCAAAATAAATAATAAACATAAGTTTAAAATCTAAAGCATTAAAACTTGTAGAAGTTTGTGTCCTTAAATTAGGGAAGGATATCTTGATTAGAAGCAAAAAGCCAAACCATAAAAGAAATTGGTAATTTAGACTTTATAGAAATTAAAACTGTCTACTCTTTAAAACAAACTATAAGAAAAATAAAGAGACAAGTCAGAAACCTATAGGTAATATTTGCAAAACACATACTGTAAAGGATTTGCACTCAGAATTTATAAAAAACTTTTACAACTGAATAGTAAGAAAACAACTCAAAAGTGGGCAAAGCAATTAAAGAGACACTTAGCTAAAGAAAATGTATGAATGGCAAATAAGGTGTTCAGCATCATTAGTCATCGAGAAAATGCAAACTAAGGCACAGTAAGATAGTACTTCACATCTATTTGATTTTTTTTTTAAATCAACTGACAATACTGAGTGCTGACAAGGACATGGAACAACTATGACAGTCATTTATTTCTGATAAGAATGGAAAATGATACTGCTACTGTGGAAAACAGTTTGGCAGTTTCTTATAAAGTTACATCTACATTTATTACATAATCAGAAATTTCACTCTAAGAGAAATGAAAACATATGTCCACATGAAGTCTGGTGTGTGAATGTTTATGCAGCTTTATATATAATCATTCCAAGATGGAACCAACCCAATGTCCATCAACTGGTGAATCCATTTTTTTAAAATTGAGACAGACAATGAACTACTACTCAGCAACATAAAAAACAATTACTTATACATATAACAACATGGGTAAACCTAAAAGCATCATGTCAAGTGAAAGGAAGCACACACAAAAGTGATATAATGTATGATTCCAAATAATATTCTGGAAAAGGCAATGAATGTCCTTATCAGGACAGGAATCAGAAAAGTGGTTGCCAGAGGCTATGACTACACAGGAGTGTCAAGAAAATTATAAGGATGATAGAAATGTCCTCTGCCTTGATTGTGGTGGTGCTTACAAGACTGTGAGTTTGTCAAAAGTTATAGGCTACATGGAAAAGGGGTGAGTTGGAGCAAGTATCACTCAAGTTCATTAGGATTCCAATTACAAAATACTTAATCTAAGGTGGGAAACTGTGAGGGAAAGGCTCCATCCAGTTTATAATGAATGCTGTCATTTCAAAATATTCTCTTTAATTAGATATCAAATAGTAAAATACATGTCAACATTAACCTGACACATCAAGAGCATGGTGACTATCTTGCTAATTGTATATTATCAAGATTTTTATATCTGAATTTGACTGAAAAGAAAAGAAATAATGAGAGCCATGTTTCTATAATACTTCAATAAAGGTAGATTTACTTGAACTCCAGAAAAATAAAAATAAATAAATAAATAAATAAATAAATAAATAAGTTTTGCCATATATAAATTATACTCAATGTTAAAAAAAATCCCATTTGCTATAGCAACAAGAAAAATAAAGTATCTAGGAATAAATTTAACCAAGGAGGCAAAAGACCTATATGCAGAAAATTATACAACACTGAAGAAAGAAATTAAGGAAGGCACATATAAGTGGAAGCATATACCGTGTTCATGGATTGGAAGAGTTAACATCCTCAAAATGTCCATACTACCCAAAGCAATTTATAGATTCAATGCAATCCTTATTAAAATGCCAATGATGTATTTCACAGACATAGAACAGACATTTCAAAAATTTATATGGAACCATAAAAGACCCTGAATAGCAGCAGCAATTTTGAGAAAGAAACAAAGCAGGAGGGATCACAATACTGGACATAAAACTATATTACAAGGCCACTGTAATTAAAACAGTTTGGTACTGGCACAAGGACAGACACATAGACCAGTGGAACAGAATAGTAAGCCCAGAAATAAACCTATGTCTCTATGGTCAATTAATATCTGACAAAGGGGGCAGAAGCATAAATTGGAGTAAAAATAGCCTTTTCAACAAATGGTGTTGGGAGAGCTGGACAGCCACATGCAAAAAATCTAAATTTGATCACCAACTGACACCATACACAAAAATAAACTCAAGATGGATAAAAGACTTAAATATAAGTCACAACACCATAAAAGTCCTAGAGGAGAACATAGGCAGGAAACTCTCAGATATATTTTCACCGATATGTCCCCTAAAGCAAGGGACATAAAAGAAAGAATAAATAAGTGGGGCCTCATCAAAATAAGAAGGTTCTGCATGGCTAAAGAAAATATCAGCAAAATGAAAAGGGAATCAACCATATGGGAAAATATATTTGCCAATGATATCTCAGGCAGGGGTTTGATCTCCATAATATATAAAGAACTCATGTGACTCCACTCCAAGAAGACAAACAATCCAATTAAAAAATGGGCAAAGGACCTGAACAGATACTTCTCCAAGGAGGACATACACAGGGCCCAGGGACATATTAAAGGATGTTCAGCATCACTAGCCATCAGAGAGATGCAAATTAAAACCACAATGAGATACCACTTCACACCAGTCAGAATGGCCATCATAATCAAATCGACAAACAACAAGTGCTGGCGAGGTTGTGGAGAAAAGGGAACCCTAGTGCACTGTTGGGGGGAATGCAGACTGGTGCAGCCACTGTGGAATACAGTACGGAATTTCCTCAAAAAGCTAAAAATGGAACTGCCTTTTGACCCAGTGATTCCACTGCTGGGATTATACCCTAAGAATCCCAAAACGCCAATTCAAAAGAACCTCTGCACCCCAATGTTCATAGCAGCACACTTTACAATAGCCAAGTGCTAGAAGCAACCTAAGTGCCCATCAGTAAACGAGTGGATCCAAAAACTATGGTACATTTACACAATAGAATACCATGCAGCAGAAAGAAAGAAAGAGCTACTACCCTTCACGACAGCATGGATGGAACTGGAGAGCATTATGCTAACTGAAATAAGCAAGGGGGCAAAAGACAAACACCATATGATCTCACCTATAAGTGGAACCTAACCAACAAAACAAACAAGCAAGAAAAATATAACCAGCAACATTGAAAGAAAAAAGAAACCAACAGAATCAAGAGGGGAGGGGCGTTGGGGAGAGGGAAGGGAACGGTCAAGTCAAGGGACATGTGTCGGGGACCCATGGACAAAGCCAAAGTGGGAAAGGATTGAGGGAAGGAGGTGGGAGAGGGAGGCAGGGGAAAGTGGTGGGGGGAAGGTGGAGACAAATGTATTTGAACAATAAAAATTAAAAAAAAAGTAATTGAACTGTAAAAAAAGTACATGAAGTAATAAAGATAAACAACAAACACACACCTCCAAGGTAGTTGCTACCTCCTCTGCTTTAACTGTGGAGTAAGGGTAAGGTGAATGTGGGGTGATTCAGGCCCCTGAGACAGGACCTCTCAGTACCTGACACTGTGGTCTCCAGCCTCTCCCATCTGCAGTCTCTCCATTTCTCTCCCTTTCTCAGCAATTCATTCATGACAGTCTTGTTTTATCTACTCTTATAATTATAATATTTATAATTATGAATTATATTATTATATTATTCATTGCTTATGTGTGGATCTGTGAACTCCTTGAAGACAGGGTCTATATCTCATTTATCAGGACATTAGAAGGGGACATAATGGAAAGCTCATGGGGTTTGGCATCATACACACTGTAGTTAAACTGTCAGCTCCATTGCATCCTGACTGTTACCTTGGCAAGTGGTCAACTCTTTGAACTCCCATTTCTTTGTCAGTAAAATAGGTCTAATAATACTTAATGTACAGCATTATTGTGAGGATTAAATGAGCGCATGACACATAATAGAGGCTCAACAAGGTTAACTATTGTATCATATTATATTATTAATATATACCATATACATACACACCTAAGAACATAAGAGCTGCTCAATAATACTTTGTTGAATAAATGGGTAGTTACAGCTTGCTTTGTAAACCCATTTTTACACATTCCTTCTTATCTTACCTGGCTTCTTATAGGTCACATAGATGTAGAGGAAGAACTCAATGACATAGGTGATGACAGCTGCCCACCAGTTGATGACAAACATGACTGCACAGCACAAAACAGCTCCAAAGAGAGATACCCACATGTTGTAAATTCTATATGCAGGTCTCCATCCTAAAAGTAAAACAACAACAAAAAATGTATGTGCAGAAGAAAAACTTCCACATTATCACCATCATGCCACTATGTATTATTAGAATATAGGTAACATGTTTTTTTTTTTCCTAGCATAAAAATCAGAACTTCTAGATTAAGTTTGTGTTATTAGTTTTTTGTGATCTTGCGTCCCTGGCCTATGAAGGTGTAATCATATCAAATAAGGATGCTGTGAAATACAGAAAAATGTGTTTCTCATGGCCCCTCCCTAATTCTGCATGCCTCGTGATTGTCTTTCCAAACTACGAAACCTTAAGCATCTGATATCTATGCCATTAGGAATTTAAAGGAGGCAAGAGGGATGGAAAAGGGGGGTCTTGTGGGAGAGAGGTGGGAGGAATGGCTTGGTGGACCAAGAAAGAGAAGTTTAAGGCAATGGCTTATTTTCCCATGAAGAAGGCAGAACAGTCATCAATGGACTTCCCGCTAGCTCTTCCTTTACCCTAAGGGGATACTGCTTGCCCTTTCAGAAATAATAATCGATGGGTTGAGAGGGAGGAATTTGTCTGCAAGTCTCCATAAACCTGATGCATTAATATGTTTTGCATTTGCAATGAAAATATTTCTCATGATTCATACATGTTTTCCCATGTTTTGTTAGTTCCTTGAAATTAAAGAAGTTGAGAGACAGTACGGTCAGGATGGGGAAACTCTGATTTGAAGGGTACATTTGGTCTATGGATAAAGTGCATTTTAAATTTGGAGTTGCCAAAGCACAACAGAGCTTTCAAAGTCTGCTAGAGCAAATCCCTAAATGGCTACAAGATGGATATAGAACTTTGAGAACATCACTGAAAATGCCCTTATTTTTCTGAGTTTGGCTGCGTACGTGTGAGCATGTGTGCACATGTGTGTGAAACTAACAGAGGGAGGCAGAGAGCGAGGTTGGGAATGGTGTCAGTTTCTGAGCCTGTGTATTGACGTGTCCCCCTCTATGTGCTTTTCTATTTTCTTCTCTTTTTCTCTCCTCTTCTTTCCTTCCTATTCAATCTTCCTTCTGCCTATCTCTGTTACTTCACCTTATTTTTCAAAAATGAACCTAACAGGGCATGGAGGCACGCATTTCTGGGATTTGTTGTACTCTCTAACTAGGGCTTTTTGTTCTCTGCTTAAAAGGAGACAACAAAACAGAAACAGAAAAATCCTCAGTGTTTTCTGGAGCCCAGCGGCCTTGGGAGAAACGAAGGTTCCCTTTTTTTAAGTCTACCTTTTGTTTTATTGGCAGCAGCTTTTCCAAAGGAGGTTTGATTATGGCAGGCCCTAAAAAGTGGAAGTGTGTTTATATCCCTGATCTAAGTCCTCATGGAGAAAAACTTTCTGAAGGTTGATAAAGACAAGTCTTTCTTCTGGTAGAAAGGCAGAAGAAATCCTATTGGCCAGTGTAAGCAAAGACGAGGTGAGGGATGACTGGACACGGGAAGGCTCTTTGGAGTGAAATTTTGCACCACTTTAAACCACAGTCTGAGAGGGCAGGGATGTCAGCAGCTTCACTGTGAATCTGCATTGACTATACTCAGCAGGTAATTATGGGAGCTACTCATCCTTCTCTTTTGCACCATGGGCAGGAAACAAATTGATAGTAAGGAAGTTTCAAATATATACATTTATTCCACTTCTGTGGTCACTTTCACCCTGGAAATAAATAGTGGTGTTTTTCTACTGCTGAAATAAATGTGGTTTCTCTTGCAATGAATAATTTATTGCCGCAGGAGAAAATTGACTTTACGCTTGGTCAAAAAGGCCATTGCTCAAATGATTCTTTTTCCATTTCAGAAGTCATCCCCCAACTCACGAAAACAAAGTGGATTACACTGCCCACTAGGATAGATATATATATAAAAGCAGATAAAAACAAATTAAGCACTTCCCCTGACTTATTTCATTTTATTGACACTAACTGTTGGCTTAGGCTTATTTCAGTTTTGAAAAGTCCACTTACCTGGCGATTTGGCATAAGAGGCATGGAAGCAGGAGAAATTAATAAGTGCGTACGAGGCCAGGAAAAAGTTGGAGATGATGGGGGCGATGGTGTTCAGTTCCGCTGTGAACAAAGCAGAATTGAGCACGTACATATGAGTGATGAGACCAGGGCCTGAAACAGCTGTTGCAGCCTGGAAGCTTGACTTCATTTGGAAATTGAAAACATAGCTAGAATCTGTCAAAGTTTAAGAAGTTAGTGATTCTTCTTTGGGGCCGTACTCATTTTAAATCCTATTCTTAGACAGCTTCTTCTCCATAAAGAAGCCAGAAAACCACCCTGGCTGGTGTGGCTCAGAGGACTAAGTGCCGGCCTGAGAACCAAAGGGTCACTAGTTCGATTCCCAGTCTCAGGGCACATGTCTGGGTTGAGGGTCAGGTCCCCAGGAGGGGGCCCATGAGAGACAATTACACATCATTGTTTCTCTCCCTCTCTTTCTCGTTCCCTTCCCTTCTCTCTAAAAATAAAGAAATAAAATCTTTAAAAAAATAGAGAAGCAAGAAAACCTACCGATCAGAAAATAGGCAATCAAAATATCTACGTGAAAAAAATTTTTTTTGTGGGAATGGATAGAGGGTTTGAGGAATGGGCAGATGATAAACTCCCCTGTAAGTATTTCAGAGGTGCCAAATCCTGTGTTCTTTATCTGCTATGCATGCCAGGGCTCTGTGGGGTAACAGATAAGTTAAATACCAGTGCAGCAGAAATGCCTACTTGGAAAGCTCTCTGCATACACCCAACTTGCTCTCTCTGACTTTTAGAACTCTTGTTCGTCATTTGTACTTTTCTATATCTCTAGAGAGATCTACCTCTCAAGATTTGTCAAAAATGTTTTACTGCAGTAGCTAAATATCCAGCATGATTTAATTCCAGCTGACTTGTTTACTTTGTGATAGAAGTAATAATTTAGAGATAGTTCTACTTCTCTGAATGTCAGGTGTCTATCAATCTCAGTGATGCAAATGCAGGTGGCAGCTGGGTGTGTTTCTAGAACATGGAGACCAGCAAGGAAGCAGGCAAAACAGCTGCCACAAAGCTGGTGCTGTGAAGCTGCGCTGCATTGTTCTGAAAGAGTGATTTTTAAGGATATTATTTAATTCATACCATTTTTAAAACTTTGTCTGTTTAATCACTTAAAGGCAGTATAGGGCCATGATTGGAAGTCTTAAAGCTTACATTACATAATTGAAACATCTATACAGAATCACTTTTTTGGTATAATTTTTAAAAAAACCTAACAAACCTTATTAGCTGTAACAAATATCTTCAGCCTTGTGGAAATCTCATGAGGATTCATGTATTACAGTCACTTGCTGAGCTCATGTGATGAGGAGGAGCCCTCATTGTCTGGCCGCTCTGTGCTGAGGCAGGCTCTGCTCACCTATGCACAGTTGCCATCATCCTTACCTCTCGCTCCCTTTCCTCCGCTATGCTCCCTGGCAAAACCAATGCCTCAGGGAGCAGTGAGGAATGTGCTGGCTACACTGATACATGTGCCTCTTCAGGATTATGTAATTGTTTCTATATTGTTTAGGGAGAAAGAGAGAAGATTAAATTCTAGGTTAAGTGATTCTTAAATTTTAATGGTTTACGAATCTCTCGAGGAACTTGTAAAAATGCCGATTCCTTGTCATCGGAGATTCTGATTCTAACTCTTGGGTTGTGCCTAAAAAATCTGCACTTTAACAAACCCACAGGTGGTTCTGATCCTGGCACAGGTGGTCAACAGACCACACTTGGGGAACAGACACTTCAACTCTCCTGCTCCCTACCAGACTAGGAGATGTAAAGACCAGTGGCAACTGGAGGAGACTCTGGGATTAGACAATAATGGGGAGGTTGGAGGATGGATTCAGTTACACTTGGTTGGATAGATTTCCAACACTCAGATTCAAAGAGGAGCTTAGAGTCCAAAGAACAGCTCAAGTCTTCAAAGGCTTGGTTTGTACAAGGATTTCTCATTTCCTTCTTAAATAGACTCTAATATTCCCAAATGGAATATTAAACATAAAACAGGTAACTTCTCAAGCTAAAAGGAAAACTTAGGAGTATCAGAAGAATTATTTGGTTTTCAGTAAGAACAAGGACTCTACAAACCGATAAGAATGAATGCCATGGCTATAACAAAAGTGAGAATGTATCCTCTCAGTGGCTCATTGTTTTTCCCATAGCCTTTTGCAAAGAACTGCAGGGCTTTGTAGATGTTGTCCTTGCACAGAGCCTAATGGGAAAAAAAGAGGAGATATTCGTCATTTATATCTATGTATGATCATTTTCCCTGGGTGATTCAAACAAGAAGATAAGGCAAAAGATGGAGTAATACACAATACGAGGCACAAGTTAATACTGCAGTTCATCATTCTTTATATTATTTGAATCGATCTTGACCATGTGGCAGACATAGCATTTGAGCCAGATGCAAACATTAAACTGCTTCGGAAAATGATGGAAAATTATTGTTGGTGAGAATGAATATTTCAGCTTGATCCATGTTCAGTGGCAACAGCAGGAGGGAGAAACGCATGCTCTTACGCCCGCATTACCTGGAACACTTTGGGGGCGCTGACGAGGGAGGCCAGGGCCGAGGAGAGGGTTGCGGAGAAGATGCCAGCTGTGATGAGCGGGCCAAAGCCTGACACCATGCTCATGACCTTGAGAAGAGAGGTTCAAGTAAGGACACACATCCAACAGACAGTAAAAACTAACAAACCAACAAATAAAAATAAACAGTCACATTTTTATTTGAATGCTTCCCTTTCCACTTCTGTGATTTGGAATCTCCTTTATAAGGTAAATGCTTCTAACTAAAATCCCCTCCTCACTTTCTCCACCCATTTCATTTCCGAGTTCTTAAGAGTTGTTTTTTTTTTTTTTAATGGAAATGGACTTTTTGTTGATTATAAAAATAATCAATGCTCAATATGATGCTTTCAGAAGATATTATAAAGAGTAAAGTAAGAGGTTTCAAGGATTTTGACATTTCCCCTCTTGCCTTTTTGAGTATATGTTTCTTTCAAAATAGGAAATTCTATCTTACAGAAAGTGGTATTTTAATAAGGTTTGGGGAAGGACTCAGCTGTTTACTGGTCTATTTATAGGCATTGGACATTCTTGTTCTTCTTGCATGTAGAGGCTTTTAAAACCTTTGGTTTTTATTGTGCTCATTAAAAATAATTTTAGATCTGAGACATGATGAGATTCTATCATTTAAGTCATATTTTGGAATAATGACTTCAGCTGAGTTAATTTCTTTCTGTTGGTTGTTAAAAATAGATGAATAAAGCCTCCATGACAAATTTGCCTCTCCCTCTGCTCATCAGTTGTTCAGACAAATTAATATGTTTCAAGCTCTACAGTTTTCCCAACTTCCCTGTTCTTTCCCCCTTACCTACCCTTCTGACACTCAAATTTCCCTCTTGGCCTTGTGTTCCAGGCACTCCAGGTCCACCGCATTGGTTGTTCTTAGGCCAAGGCCTAGGTGTGAAATGCATTCCAATGCTAACTAATCTCTAAGTCTCTCCTCCCCTCCATGAAACCTTGCACAACGATTGGAAGATGCACAATGTTGGGTGGTGACCCTTCCTTGGTGGAACAAGTTGTACAAGTGCCTGTTCTCTCCTCAGCACAGTAAATGCAACCACAGCATTTGCTACGACTCAATGTCTGTGTGATTCCCTTCCGTCCCACACTATGTGTTCCTTGCTGAATTCAAATTAATCAACTATCAATAAGTTGCAGCATCATAAGTTTCATTAAACACGATGTTATAAAAATGGAAACAATGGCAATAAGCATCATTGCAATTACTGCGGTTTCGAACCTGGAAATTGTTCATCAGTCCATACTGACACGGCTCGTGTCGACATCTTGAGAAGTCATAGCCCAACCCGCAGGCTGCTGAGCCGTTGCAATTCATCCCGGAAATGATGGTGTCATTCATGTTCCCAGTGGCATCTCGGACCACGCAGGCCCCTGAGGAAGCAATAGTGGCTGGTCATTTCTTTACATGAAGAGTACTCTTCCCTTAGGGGTTTCTTCTGAGAACACACTTAGTTTACTTGGAGTCTGAGCAGGTCCATTGACTCTCCTGTCTTCACTGTCAGTGCTTCCTGGGATGTGGAAGCTGAAGGCTCCTAATCCCTGAAGCCTGGGAGCATCCTTTGTGTCTAACAGGCTGCCACTTCTACTCTCTTGGGGAGTTTCGGTCCTAGCTCTCACCTGCTTCTGTAAGACACTTGGATATTAGAAATACCTTACTTTCTGATCCCCTAAAATGCACATACAGTTCAAGTTTCATAATATTCAATTCAGATTCCTGGCTCAGTACTACTGATTTCAGTGTTTTTCAAGTATGATTTATTGCCTCACGTGTGAGAGAACCAAGAGATGGCCTTATTGAATTTGGATAATTAAGGGAACCAAGGCCCTGCCTTCAACTAATGATATTCCTTGTGTAATTTTTTAACAGTTGTAATTCTACTTGACATACAATTTTAATAGTTTAAATAATAAAATACTTTGGGATAAAATATTAAGATTTCTTAAGTAATACTAATGGTCAAAAATACTCTATCAAATATTTGCTTCAGTTTATTCCATTTTTCATACATTTAGGTGTTTCTGTTATTTTCTATTATAAATGTTCTATGAACATTCTTGTGCATACATTTTTCCCTGTATATCAAATATTTCTCTAGGATAGGTTCCCAGAAATGGAGTTATCAACTTTCCAAAGCTCTTGGATATATATTTTAATCACCAACACACCTTATGAATTTTTCTAACTGTATTCTCTGACCATATACGTTTAGTAGGATTATTGAAATATATGAACATGAGTGTGAAATATATATAAACTCTTCTGAACTACCTGAAGGATAAATACTTTACAAACTAATGCCAACCAATAAAACTGTTCATTTTGCTTTTCAAACTCCAGCTGAGTTCTCACTCCTTGCTAACAACTATCAGAGAGGTACCAGTGATATTTAGGTACTAATGAGAACCCTTAATTTTAGCCACAAATTCATAGTCTTTAAATCTAGGAAAGACTTAAGAATTATAGAATTTTCAAATTGAAAGAACCACTTACAATAGTCAGTGCAGGAATTTTTCTCATAAAGCCCTGAGTGGTGGCCTGGTTGATTACCTTTACTCTGTCCCTGGCCCAGAGACACCTGTGTTACAGTTTAATTGCTTTCAAACCCTAGAGCAACTCAGAAGGGAATTAAAATTGTTGCCTTTTAAAAAATGTTCTGCTTATGTTCCCCTGAAAGTTCATTGGACATAAAACCCCATTAAACCCTTTGTAAATCTGGCATTCCAGCACCAGAGGCACAGTACTTACCTACACAGATAGCAACTCCTATGTAGGCGACAGTGGTGATGAAAATGGCTAGCATGGTTCCTCTGGGGATGGCATCTTGGGGGTCCTTTCAAATAATAATGGGGAGGTACAAGGAGACAGGGTGCAATCAGAAACAGAGGTCACTTGGAGTTATTTCTGTGTTTCCAAACTTTTAGGCTACTCTTCCTGAGGCAAGTTCTAAAGAAAAGATCAAGCTGATAGAAAAATGGTGAACTCAAATTCTTTTGGTACAAAGACAAAGTGCTTGGAGTGAATAAGGAAATATGTGAAATTTTGTGCTGAACAGAAGAGATCTCCAACTGTCCAGGAGAGAGTTTTTATAGAAAAGTATACTATTTAGTTCACTCACTAATGCCTCTCTCTCCTTTATCTCTGTGAATTTCCTGCTGATTTATTAAACCTTAAATTATTAGGAGAAATATCCAACCATACTTGGCACATTGATGATATCAGTGTCTCTGTGTGATTGTTTGATACTAAGCTTAAGCTTGCCTTAAAAAAAAAATCACTTTAGACTAAGCAAAAAGGATGATCTGCTAAATTCTCCAATCTTTCATATTTCCCATTTGGAGTCTCGTTCAGGAATGACTGAAGTGGGAGATACTTAATTTCCATAAGCAGGCATAAAGAAAGAGGCAAATTTAAGCTTATACCAAAAAGTGGGCTTTTCTCTTGCTTGTAAATGTATATAAATTCACTGAGCTGAACCCACATCATATATAATATACCCTTTTATATCCTATTTGGGGAACTAAATCATATCATAATCAACTCCAAGCAGCGTAACTTCTAAATAATTAAAATCAACTTAACGTGGATTATTAAATAGATATTTTAATATATTTATTGATTTTACAGGACAGTGCCTGGCAGGTAGTAGGGGTCAATAAATATTGAATCGAAGGAAATGCAGTCTCAGTAGGCTGGTTCTTCCACCAGAGGACATGAGACTCATCAATACAAATAAGCAATCAATGCAGTTAAAGTATGAAGTTGTTTTTTTGCTTATTTTGGTTTTTTAGCTTAAATTTGCTGATCAAATTCATCAGAAAAGTAAACTCATGGTGAATGTAGACTCAATCTGACAGCTGCATAGTCAAGCAAATCTGTCCCCACATAGGAGTGCGCCATCTCTGTGGAGTCACTTTGTGATCATTAATTCCTTCCCACTCTTCAGGAATATCTCCACACTTGCTTTGTCTAATACAATGATTTTCAATGTTTTTCCTCTCATGGCACTAATAAACTAATTAAATAATTAGTTTAATAAACTAATTATTAAAATTCTATGGCACACCAAAAATATATGCATTTGCCTATCTGACAAAAAATAGGTATAATTTTGATTCATTCATACTGGATGGCTGTTGTTGCGTTGGTGGTTGTCATTTTTTAATCTGACAATCTAAGGGAAAAGAAATCAGTGCTTCTGACTAAATAGTCAGGTATTACATGCTTTAAAAATTCTTGTAGCACATTGGTTGAAAATCACTGGTCTAATACATACATAGGCAGCCTCTTCCTCATAAGCTATTGTCTCTAAAAAGGAATGTGGCAAGTGTGTGCAGTTGAGAAGCATGTACAAGGAAGAAGATTATTGTGGCTGAAATGGGCCCCACTCAATCTCCTAATTCATGTTATGTTTCAACATTTATTTTACTGATTAAGGATTTCATGAGATTTAAGTGAAATGCAAAGAACTGATTTAAGTGGGAAGAAAGGAAATATATGTAAGAATTAAGAGATATGAAGATGGAAGGCAGTCTTGTACCTAAAACACAAAAACTTAGTTTTTATTTAGAACAACCTGCTACAAACTCTAAAATTACTTATTTAGAACTTACATGAGGGTCAAACTAGACCCGAATGCCAATATATTAACGTATGATCATATGCTTACATTGTCTGGCCTGGCTACATTTCTTCTAGACAGGGCTGAGGACTTGGACAAATGCTTAGTTTTCATACTAAATCTTAGTTTCCATCTCCTTGGCAGTAAACCCAAATTTACTTCCCTTCACCTTTCTTTGTTAAATATTATATATAATGTATATATGTATACAGAATACAAACATTTTATTAGATTGCTGTTTTTGGAGTACATCAACCATATCCTAATCTTGCATCTCTGATGCTGCACCCTAACTCTTTTGATTTGACTTAGATGCCTCCCAAATCTTCTCCCAGGCACACATTTACAGATTATCAATTAATATGCTAACAAACAGGAAGTTCAGGCTGGAACGTCATGCTAACTCTCATTGACCGCCATCTTCAGAAGAATGCTGGGTTGTGAGCAGAGGCAGCATCTTGCATATTCTTATAGTGCGTGAAAAATGAATGTTTACCAAGTTGAATTGAATCCATTATGTTTTGATTATTTAGTTTCACCCTCAGAGAGAAATATGTACAGAAGTGTCCTTCCCACTTCCCAATATGCTGTCACTTCTCAGTCCTTAATATGCTTGACCACTCTGGCTTTTGACCATAAAGTATTACTTCTCAAAGCATTCTTTCCCTTGGCTTTCAGGACCCCACACTGCCTTGGGTTCTCCTATGTCCTAGGCAGTTTTTTCTCTTTCTTCTTCAAAGACTCCTTTTCCACCATCTGTACTTTCCTATGCACAGACTCGGAGGAACTCATGTACACAATGCCTTCTGGCCTTGCACTAGCTCGTCTTCAGAGCTCCCGACCCCTAAGTCTAGCTACACACCTAGACATTGCCACCCTGATGTCCTTCTACCAGATCAACCTCAATGGCCAAATATGAGCTAATTTTTCCTCATTTATTATGCCATGGAATTAATTCAGTAGGTTGCAACCAGCATGAAACAAATGCAGTGGAATAGAACTGATGTGGAAATAATCAGAAGACATCATTTTTAGTAAAGAACTGCTTGGGGAAAATTTTGTATGCATACCAGTTGGTTGTGATGGAAATGTTTTCTTACAGCAAATCATAGTAAAATAAAATGTGCTTTTTACTTCCTCTTCTAACTCTAACAAAAGCTGACCATTTTGATCCATTTCCCCTGCCACAGCCTTAATTCAAGCCCATGTCACCTCTTGCCTCAACTTCTGTTACATCTCCTAATTGATCTTTTTGCCTCTAGTCTCCCTATCACACCCCTCCACCCCAACCGCCTCTCAATACGCACACCAATGTGCGTGCGTGGGCGTGCGAACACATACACACACACACACAGACACACACAACACCTACCCTTCACAATCAGCTAGGGGGCTCTCTCCAAAACATGTATCTTAGATAGTGATTTTTTTTTTAGTTCATTGCTTACTCAGTGCCCAGGACACAGAGAAGTTCCTTTATAAATATGTTTATTACTATAATGATGAAAAGATTTTACTTGTGTGCCCCATTCCACATGTAAAATCATTTCCATCAGCAACATCTACCTCTGCGCCTTCTTACATTTCATTTCTTCTGTCCCAAATATCCCTCTCTTCTTTGTTCTGTCGATGAATCTGGATAGAATGTCCCTCCTCCGAAAGCCTTCCCTTACTTCTTTACAGACAGCAGTTATTATTTCTTCTTTTCCCTGAATGTGATGTTTTTGCTTCATATGACTCCATTGGAGTTAAGTCTATCTCTCCAGTAGACCAAGAGCTCTGGAGGGAAGGACTGAGTTTTGCTTTGCCTCCCCACTGCCTGGTATAAGTGATGGATGAGCTGAACTGACCAGAAAGCATCTCATACAAAACTGTCTTTAACGAGTCTTAAAAAAGCACAGTATTCTTTAATTCAGATGTGTACTCACAGTTGACAGAAACTTAAATAAGTGGTACCTGATACTTTTCCAAATCTGAGAAACTGGAAGGTCAACATCCATAGCTAAATTTCACTAAGCAGTGATACTTACTACTTGAATCATTTTGAAAAAGTTACTTAATTTTTCTGAGCCTCAGCCTAATCTTTTTTTGTGCTATATCTCTGCTCAGGAATTTACCCTGACACTATGGTTCTTAATATAACAAATGCAGAAGCCTTTATTCATTCACTCAATAAATATTTATGGAAGCTTTACTAGCTCTGAGGATACAGCAATGAACAAAACCAAAGGCGAAGGCTTCACTTTCACAGAGTTATATTCTAGGGTGAGCACTTCTGGCTCAGGTCGCTCTGACACTGACACCTGCTTCTCCTCACCTTACAAGGTTATCCAGCCTCATGAGGGCTTCTTCAGCTAAACTGGGGGAGATGCTTCCTGTCCCTAGCTTTCCCCAGGCCTTACTGTTCTTTTGTCTTCGCTGCCTGTAATACATTCTTCTCACCAATAGTCAGTACTTAGCCTTTCCTTTCAGTTCACACTTCAATGCTGTTGCTGTGAGGATATCATCCTTACCTTAATCGTTATTTGTTCATTATTTTATCTCACAATCCATTTGGACAGTGCATATCGTTTTAATTTACACATGTCTCTCTTTTTAAATATATTTCATGGATTATGCTACTACAGGTGTCCCAATTTTCCCTCTTTGCCCCACTCCACCCAGCACTCTCCACTCCCTCCAGCAACCCCCTCTCCCTCAGTTCATGTCTATGGGTCGTGCATTTAAGTTTTTTGTATACATATCTCTTGATGGCCCTTATAAATATTTCTTGTCTTCCAAAGTAAATTATAGATTAATTGAGGTAAAACTTGTGTCTTTTCCTTTGTGTGTGTGTGTGTGGTAGATACTGTTTACTGCCTCATGTTCTATCTCACCTTCTTCCTTTTATTATTAGAACCCTGCAAAATTTTATCTGGACACACGGCAACCCATCTAGAGATTACATTTCCCAGCCTTCTTTACAACTATGTAAGGCCTCAGACTAACTTCTGGCCAATGGAATGTCAGCAGAAGTGATCCACTGAAGGTCCAGGAATTGCTTGTCTTCTGCTTCCTTATTCCCCTTCCTATGGACTGGAATGTGACCTTGGAAACAAACAGTCATCTTTGGCCTTGCAGATGAGGGCAACCCCCAAGGGAACAATAAAACAAGGGAGGTTATCTGAGTTTCTGGACTACATTTTGGGACATTCCACTGGGTGGCTATGAGCTCAAATTTTTATTCACTAGAAAAACTTCTATCTTTTTTAGGTCAAAATTACTGGTCTTTTATAAAATATACAAACCAATATCCTGACTAATACAGTGCTCCTTACAGTAGTTAACATAGAAAATATGAATGAGCATAAAATAAACACCTATTAAATGAGTGACTATGTCCCTGAATTTCATATCAGCATTTAGCAATAAAGTAATTTGTCTTTGGTTTTTGTTCTTTTTCTTAAGCATTACATGTTCTTACACATTATATGTTTAAAAGAGAAAATGGTAGTTCCGGTATTTGTTTCACTGAGCTGTATCTATTTTGTTGGAAATGTGACATACGGTCATAATCTGTCCTTCTGATATCACTGAATAAGACTTTTGGAAGGGCTATCAGGAATAGGATAGTTTGGCATTACAAGATAATTTTTAAATAATGAGGAAAACTTACGGAAATTTTACGGTTTGAGAGCTTTAGAGAAGCATGATTACTTTCGATCTCTACAGCTCTTTGTTCTGCCTGCCAGCTTCACCACCACCTCCCAGGACTATACAAGCAGAGAAAACAACATACCTCCAAATCTCCTGAGATATTGGCACCTGCAAGAATCCCAGTAGCTGCTGGGAAAAAAATGGCAAAGACAGAGAAGAAGCCTTCGCCTTTTGTGAAGCTCGGCCCAAAGTTTTCTGCAAATATTGATGCTGCAACACAAATAATAAGAAAATGATCATGTAGACCTTCTTCACAGAGTGGGAGATCAAGCTACCTTTGGCTTCTATAGCCCTAAATGCAAACGAGTGCCCGTAATCTAAATGAAACTCAAAGATGTTGGTGTTCTCCTGATGAACCTCATGTTTCTATTTGTCAAAGGTCAAATACACATCACAAGGTTATAGATCTCTAGGACAGAGCTCTGAAAAATCCATCAATTTTGTACCAACCAAGGCACCTGAATTCTTTGCATCTAGAAGACTGAAAAATGAGGAAATGGAGAGTTCTATCATGGTACTACAGGCATACTCACAAATATACCACACGTACACACAGTACACATATACAACTACATCCTTACATGCATAAATACCTTAATCAACACACTGCTTTTCCATGTCTTTCTTTTTTGATTGCAGAAACTTGTGGGTAAGGCTACCTTACACTTTTGCTATTAAGGTTCTACCCTACCCACCCCTTGCTGAGACTGAATTTTAAATTCTTATACCAAATTCTCACATATAGGAGAATAATATCATGAGGAGTTTTGATCATAAAATAATACCATCCCACAGATTGTCACCAAATTACTTAAATGAAAAGAATAATCTAAAAGAAATAATGGAAAAGGAAAGAAAGAAAGAAAAGGAAGATAAATGTGAATGAAAGAATCTAGAATAATGCAAAAATAAGAAAAGAAGATTTATAGCATGAGAAAAAAATATAGCAGGAGCTGGAGGGGAAAAAAAAGAATAAAAAGGAAAAGGATGTTAACATGCAAAGCAAACAAGACAGTTTTTACAAAGAAAAATAATCAGAAAGAAAGAGTTGATATGATATAAAAAGGAAATGAATACTGGCAACTGAAAAATGAAGAAAAATATTTTTAAAATCTCAGCAGTGGATTCTTGGGTAAGTTAGAGTGGAAAGTTAGGAGAGAGTAGATAGGTGAAGCCAAGTAGGGGAAAGAAGTAAAATTCTACTCTCAGTGACTTTATCACAGGATGCTACCCTAAGTACCTCCTACAGTCATTTATGTTTGAAAACCTGACAGTGATGCTTAACTAGGTAATGCTGTTAAAGACCAAGGTGCAAAAAAGCCTAGCAGGAAAAAAATGACTATGTCTGACTTTAGTGCTCTCAGTGGTTGAACAAATGGTCTGAGCTTTCCTCTCTTTCTCTGTATGTGCCTTTTTCTACTTTTTTGACAGCTACAAGTTGTCTTGTACCTTAAGGTTTTCAAAATGCTTTTACATCCACTGTCTTATTTGATTTTTAAAAATCCCCTCAGGAAGTTATTACCACTCACACCCAACGAGGAACATCTGAGACCTGAACAGGTTAGTGAGGCCATCTAGCTGTAAGGAGGAGGGCTGAGACTCACTCTGGCTCTCCTGAACCCAACCTCTGGCTCCCCCTTGGATCACAAGGCTGGAGTGGGGGTCACAGGGACGGTGATGGAGGTGGGCAACGGAGGACCATTTACTGCAAAGCCACTCACTGTCACACATACCTTGGTAATTAAAGAAACCTCTGGACTTTTTCTCATTGTTGGACGGAATGACGGTTCCAATGAAGAAGTTTGCAATAGCAATAAGAAGAATGACCAGAAGGATCACTTGAGCCTGGAATGGCAAAGAAAAAAAAAGCCAAACTACATTTATTTAACATCTTTTCACATAATCATAAAAGTTATGTGTCCACTGAAGAAAGACTATATCTGGTTATTCCAGTTAAGACTCTATTACCCAGATTAGGTAGTAAGTGGGCCCTTACAAAATGGCATCTTATTGAGCCTTATTTGGCCTGACTAGAGATATGACATTTTCAATGGGACTATGTGATTGGGCACTTGAAGTTGACATTGCAAGAACATTCTAAGTACTAGGAAGGTACCTTACTGCAGTGTCTTCAGGAGTATAAATGGAGCCCAAAGTTTTAACACTGATAGAGTTTATTTCCTTTTTAAGCAGAGCAGCACAGATTCCTCTTATTCCCAGTGCTAACTGCAGGAGTATGAGAACACAGAATGACCCAGAATCACCCTGACACTTAGTGCATTTGATATTAGGCTGCCAGTGTGTGTCTAGCACAAGCAGCCTGCAAGGTTGACCAGCCAAATTTTCTTCTTCTTTTTTTTAAGTTTCCCATACATTTAGAGGTATTTATTGGCTTGGCATTTCCATGTACTGCCCACTCTGCTAAGAAAGCATTTCCACTCTTTGCAAAACTGTTTCCTTCTTCTCATCTTTTCAGTCTTAGTTACCTCCTCGGACAGGCCTTTCTTGATCACTGAATCTACATGACAGCTAACGCTCACCAAGGGCTTTCAAATAACAGCTGCAGGTTCAACTTTACCAGTATTCTTTCAGATAAATAATACTACCAATAACTGTGTGAAGTCAGTAATGTTATCATCATTTAAAGATAAAGAAACTGAGGCACAGATAAGTTAAGCAATTTACTAAAGGTCATATGAATATAAACTAGATTCAGATCCAGGCATTCTGAAGGAAGAGCTGGAGCTCTAAATTCTACCCTTTGCTCTATGGAACTGCATTGCCTCCCTCAGGGAACAAAGTCAATGAAAGTAGATTCCCCACTTTTTCTATCTCAGTGCCTTGTTCATTGCTTTTATAGTACTTTTACAATTTACCATTTTTTTATGTACTTGTTATCTCCTTGATTATTACTCATATCCTCATAGAGCATGTACTCAGCTAGGGTAGAAATTGTGCCTGTTTTATTCACAATGAAATATCCAGTGCCTAGCAGAAGCCTGAACACATGTAAGCACTTAATCCACTTTTGTTTAAGGTGTGAATGTATAATCCACAGATAAGTACTGTACAGGAATGTTTCCTATTGCCTTATGTAGGTGGAAAGCTTAGGCCATCTTTCCATTGCTAGTGACCATGAGAAGTCTAGTCCTGCATCTCCAGGCATAAAGGTTCATTTTCAGTTGTACCAGTCACTGTACAGAATTACAAAGTGCGCAAAAAAAACATGCTTCCGTCATTTAGAAATTTATTAACCGTTTCTTTACTATTTAAATACAGGTATTCACTAGTTCCAAGGCCTGTGTTGTCCTCCAACTTTTGCTGAAGGACTGGATTTCAGAGAATGACAGTCTCTGCCTCTATTACCTTCTCTGAACACGTCTGCCATTTCTTTTGGTTTCGGCACCGACAACCACTTTGAAAGGAGTTATGAATGAGAGACACAAGCTTCCAGCCTGTGCTATTGCTACTATCATAAGGCGATCTGTGCATAAAGATGGCACCACCCTTGGTGGCCGTGTCACTATGGTGAGAACATAAAGAAGGACAGAAGACAGGGCCGATCATGTCTCACGTGAGCTGTGAGTCAGCACTGCTTGGACTCTTGCTCTGCGGGCTTGGCGCTCCACGTGGTGCTAACCTGCAAATTCTCCATAGCAAGTGATAACAGTAATTCTTTCTAAATATGGGGTCCCGTCTATCCCTGCAATTTATTAAGGGCCTGACCAGCAGTTGTGGATAACCTCATTTGGAGAAATTCACCTTTGCTTCCCATTCCATTCCAGCTACTGAAATTCCTAAAAGAATCACCACCGTGATTGAGCCAATTATCCGGATATCATTGGTTGGATCCACCATCATTGAATCACTCTCCTGGGGGAAAAATCACAAAAATGGTTAGAGTTGGAGCCTTTTTTTTTTTGGTATATTTTATGGTATCATTTAATAGTAAGATGAACATTAATATACTAATGTCTGGGGCCATATAGGATAATAGAAAAATGAAGTGTTCATACACCTGAGAAGATAAAAAACTTAATATTATTTTTTTCCTATAATAATAGGCTTTTGATAGCCAAGGTTAGGAGTCAGAAATTTTAGAGATTCATTCTAGTCAGAGCTTTAGAAGCTATTATAGCACTAAGTAAAAGTATGTGCATATACACATATCATGTTTTGATTCAGAAGAATGACTAGTTATTTTTGTGTGTCGGGGATATCCTAGAGGTATAAAAATGAGTGGTTTCCAATGTCTATATTGGAGAGTGTTATTCAATTAAAGAACAAACTACACAAAGCAGATAATGCATCTCCTGAAGATAACATACCTGATGAGCTATATAACCCACTCATTTATTCATCTAGTTTTTAAATAGAGGTACGGTTAACAATTAAATTCAGTGAGTACTACCATTACCACAAAGGAGGACAGAAGTGAGTTCATATGCCAGCTAATTCATGTTCTCACATATGCACCATCTATTACAGATGGGGCACCTCATCTAGGAAATGCCTAGTTTCCTGTGGTGAGTTATTCTAATATTTGAACTTCCTTTCTGTTTGGAAATCTATAATCATAATGGTAATACAGTAGTTTCTCCCTTACTGGCGGTTTTGCTCTCAGTGATTTCAGTTACCCACCGTCAACCATAGTCCAAAAATATTAAATGGAAACTTTCAGAAATAAACCATCCATAAGCTTTACATTAACTGCCATTCTGAGGAGCGTGACGAAATCTTGTGTTGTCCTGCTCTGTCCCACCTGGTATGTGAGTCATCCCTTTGTCCAGTGTGTCCATGCTGTAGATGCCACCTGCCTGCCTGTTGTTACCCAGGAGCCACCTGGGTTATCAGAGCAACTATCACGATAACTTGGTGCTTGTATTCAATAACCTGATTTCACTTAATGACTGCAAGGAGCAAGGGCAGTGATGCTGGCAGTCCAGGTACGCCAAAGTCAGAGAGAGCTTCCTTTAAGTGAAAAAGTGAGCACAGCCCAATAAGGTATTTGGAGAGACCATATTCATATAATTTTTATTACAGCATATCCTTCTAATTTTTCTATTTTCTTATGAGTTATTATTTTCAATCTCTTACAGTGCTTAAGTTATAAATTAAACTTTATCACAAATATGTATAGGGAAAGCATAGTATATATATGGCTCAGTAATGGCCACATTTAGGTATTTGCTGAGGTCTTAGAACATATCCTCAGGGAGTAGAATGGGACTACTGTATTGTTGCTGGTAATAATACCCATTATTTTTTGATGGTTTGTATTTTATGTAGTATTTCATGTATATTATTGTATTTGATGTGAACCACATTTATATGAAATGTATAAAACAGTATTAGCCCATATCAAACATTTGGAAAACAAAGTTCAGATGAATAGAAGGCCTGGTCCAAAATCTCTCAGCTGGTAAATGTGAGAGCCCAGATTTTAAGTCAGTTCTGATGCCAAACCTAGGGCTCCTTCAACTATATCCAATTTCCACATTCTGCAGAAGAAATCAATTTCTTCTCACCTTGCCATAATACCATAATATGACCTAGTGCTCTGAAAAGGCTAATTGAGCCAAATTATCTTGCTTGACTGAAGAAAAGCTTTTACTTACCTTAAGAAGGTCTACCACAGTCTCAGCAAATCCCACCACATACATAGCAACAGCCACTGCATTGGCAAAAGCAAAGATCAAGCCTATTGACCCACCGAATTCTGGCCCTAAGCTTCTGGAAATTAGATAGTAGGCTCCACCTGAAACAAAAATGAATATGCTTTACTCTGAGAAACTGCTAAGGGATTTAGTTTATAGGACAAAATAATTTTGAACACTGAGAACATTTGAAATATTAATTATTCTAATAAAAAGACTGTAATTTCCTAACAATTTTGGGTATCTTGTTTTACCTTAATGACTAGTGGAACCCTTGCTTGCACTCTGTATATAATCTACAATAGAACTATCCTGACTTAGTAAGACCCAATTTATTGAAACCTAATTATACACAAATGTTACAGATAAGAATACAGCAAACTTTACCAACAATGCTTTGTCTTTTACAAAAATTCATTGGAGAGTTCAGATCAATAATGTAACTGAAGTAAAATTTTATATCTGAAATTCCTAAAAACAGGCAGGCCTAGGCAAAAAATGAAGTGGGTGAAGTTTGTCATTTTTATTCTAGCTTCCTTTCTGTTATAATTTTCTGGTACATATTTGCTCTATAAAAAAGGTACACGTATAGTGCTTTGTATTATCCTCTCTAATAAATCAGACTTTTAAAAAATGTTTTTAGCTCAAGAAGGCATGGTGTGTGTGTAGGTGAAAAATGGGAAGAAAGGGAGGGAGAACCTAGAGCAATTGCTTCTCCCTTGGACCTTGAAAAGGTAGCTCTACATATGGCTGTATCTCCGTGCACATGAAAGACTGAGCTGGGCTGGTTAACTGCTCAGAGGGCACTGAGAGCACGTCAGTGACGGTAAAAAGGACTAGATGTTGAGAGGCCTGGATAACTAGATGTTATCACGGGAAGAGTAAATTAATAACTTCCTATACCAAGCTAGTGTTTGAGGTGGACGGGATTGGTAGGGAAATGACATTGAACAAACATATCCACAGCTAGTGGTGGGGGTGGAGGTTAGGGGACAGAGGGATTGAGCAAAAAGGAAACAGGACTCAGGGACATGGACAACAGTGTGGTGGTTGCAGGCGGGGGAGGAACTAAATGGTAATGGAAAAAAATTACAATGCAGATTAAATTAAAAAAGTAAAAAAAAACGAAAATACATCAAAATGATCTTTTCCTGAAAAGACATTTCCTCCACTGTAGTAACTCATGGGTTAGGGGTCAAAGTCCTCTTTAAAAATGTAACCTATTATCTAAGCAGGGCAAATCCCCATTATTTCCTTTGCCCAGATTACATTAAATAAATTGGCTAGCCAGTTACTTAAGCTTGGTCAAAATGAGATTTTGCGACAGGCAGAAAATTGTGAGAGAGGTGTGTTGTCGATAGGATGGTGCTTTAAAGGCCTTGGGTGGGAGACCTGGGTAAGATACCCAAGTAGAGACCCTGAAGGACCAAAGCAGAATGGGAAGGGAAAAGAAAGGAAATTAGCACATGGATCAACTTTACCCACTTCATTTTCCACTTAGGCCCGTTTGGCCCTGGGCGATCTGAAATAAACTCTTTGTTTTGTTTTTTTTTCTTTTTAAAGATCTTTCATGGCTGTTGGCCACTGGAAGTTGAGTGCTGGGGCGAGCGCTGAGGACTGACTGAGCGGGAAGTGTCAGCAGTGTTGGCCATGGCACCGGGGAAGGCCCGCGCTGAGGGTACCTGGGAGATGGCCCTCAGGGCTGGTCCACGGCTCGAAGAAATGCCTTCTTTCTAGACACCTGGTCACGCTCTACTTTATAAACATGTTTACTCACTGGAAATGGGTTGAAGAAGTCTTTTCTGGAGATCTCTTAACATTAGTTGAGAAGAATTTTGCCTTACTCCTTGCCTTTTGGGTTCTTTTGTTTTATTTTAAATCTTTGGAAACTAATGAGCAATATACAATTTTTATTTCCAACATTAAACCAACTCTAGACATTACCACGTAACCAAAGCCTGCAGTCATAAGTAAATGAATTGGCTTACCTCCTCTTACTACTCCATTTGTGCAAATGGCAGACATAGAGATACCTGTGAGTGTTGTCACTACCACACTCAGGCCAATGATGATGACTCCAAGACCTGCAAAATCCCCCAAGAAAAGTGTTTGGCTCCAGGACTTCACGAAGTCCTCAGTACTTCAGGAGGCAGCAGTCTAACTCTCGTCATGGAAGGATCCGTCTCCCCGTGCAAAACCTGGAATGTTCTAAAGAAGCCCATTCCATGAAGGTCTAGGAAACACCTGAAATGTACTAAACTTTAAAATTGAGGCCATGTCCAGGCATCATTTTCCAAGGAACGCCAGGCAAGAGGGATGCAGACTCATCTGAAAAATGAAATGTTTACCCAAGAAATGTGAACATCCTACCACCGGGACCTGCAATGTGCTGGAAAGGTCAGTTAGAAAGGAGACCACAGCTGACCAGAGTGAACCAGGACTATACTCACAGTACGTTATGTTACCTTAGGCATCCAGCTCATCCCGGCAGTCAGCCAGCCTTCAAGAACACTGGGCTACTTTCTTGTTCCCATCAAAACAAAAGTATATAAAAAGTTTTGCCTACCCGTAGCAAGTGATGAGAGCATTAGATATTTTAGAAATTTTACCTCCACGAACAAACCCGTTAGTTGCTATTGCGGAAGTTGACAACCCAGTAATAGAAGTTACCATGGTGGAAAGAAGAATTATGAGAACTCCAAGACCTGTCAGCAATGAAAGATAAAAGATATTATATTTTACTTTTCTTCCTTGGATTCCCTATTGCCACAAACTATACTGCCTTTAATTCAAGTTTTTATGTCCAAGCCTTGGGCCCCAGTGGAGTTCCTTTGTGCTAAAGAGAAACAGGTTTGCCTGGCATACAGATCAAGTCGGAAGACCGCTCATTAGGATGAAGGATGGTTTCCAAAAGTAAAAATCTGAACTGCAGCCCTGGAAAGGAAAAGTTGACTTACGCTGGTGTCCTGGGAGAGAAACTACCCTGGCTGTGAAAAGAGAAAACATGACATTTGACCTTCTCTCTTACTCGAAAGGAACCTGAATGAGAAAGTTGGGGGTTGACAAAGGTTAAATCCTTCACCATTCTTCTTCCATTTCTCTTGCCTGGGGCGGGGGGAGTAAGGAACCAACTAGGATTACCTTTTAAAACACTCCAGAAAGGTCAGTGGTGAACTATGTGAGCCTGTGTTGCTTTCACCTTACAAATGATCGTGCGGGTCACAAGTTTAATTACCTCCTCTGACATATCCATTTGTAGCAATAGCAGAGGTGGATAAACCAGTGATACCAGTCACTGTCACGGCTAAGCCGATGATAATCACACCAAGACCTCAGTTGAGAGAGGAAAAACAAAGGCAATTAATCGGTGGAACAATCCATTAGATCGTTTATATAAAAGCCAGCAAGTCTAGGGTAATCACCAAAGGACCACATTTGAGTTAATGAGTTGGCTTAAAAATCACCACAGAGTAAGTGCTTGGCTGTAAAGTTTTCTGCCTATAGCAGCACAGATCCTTGAAACTCAAGAGCTAAGATGTGGAGTGCGAAGTTGCACACAACTAAGCAATGATGGCTGGTCAAAATTTAATGTGATGACAAAGTTCTAAAGACACCTATAAACATAATAATTCGTCTACACAATACTCAACTGTTAACATGACTAAAGAGTAAATGTTCCTCTTTTCAGGTATCTATTTTTTATGTACATTTGATTGTGCAGGAGTGGAAAATTACATACAATATAGCAAATTGTTCATTTGGCAGGTAAGTAATGTGGAGAGAATCAAATTGAACTACTTTCACTCCCTGGCTGTGTGACCTCTGACAAGTTACTTATTTTCTGAGTCAAAAATGGCAATAAAATTAGAAAGAATGCATGGGTAAGTGGCTAGCACAGTGCACAGCATACAGTACACAAGTAGCAGCACTTTTTTTTTTTTAAATCAGATCCACAGTAGCTATAATAACTATTGTTTATTTAAAACCAACTGTATATCCAGCTATGCGTTAGGTAACATGAGAAGCGCAAGGAGCAAATAAAATGAAATAGAAAAAAAAAAAGCTTCCCTTAAGAATCTTATGGTATAGAAGCCAATAATTATGAAAGAGAGAGAGTGGTAAGCCAAAATTTAAAGGAAGGTAAGGGTACCTTTAGCTAAGGATTATTTTGAGCTAAAGACAATTGAGAAGTAGATACCTTCCTATATTTGCCTAAAAACAGAACATAAGTTTTTAAAGGCACCAGAGACAATTCTAGACCCTTATAAGCTGGAATTGATACCAGAGAAACATAACAAACTTTCCTCATCTTCCATTAGTTCCCCCATATACTTGCCTTCCCACAATTTGTCACCCTAGAAACTCAGTCCTTTCCCTTTGACATACTTCTCTAAAATTGTATCATTCTCTTAAGATGATGTATAAGCCCAAATTCTAACCACCACTTTGTTACTCATTGCTGAGTCTTCTCATGTGTATATACACTTCACATGTTAGTAAACTTTGGATTGTTTTTCTCTTGTTAACCTGTCTGCTCTCAGTCTAATTTATGGAGGTCTAGCCAATGAGCCTAATATGGGTAGAGGGAAAACAGTTTTCTTTTGCTATAATATCCTCCTCATTGAAAGCTGACCCAGAATTCAGGGAGAAAATGAGGGGTCACAGGCACTGAAATCACCATGGCACCAGGCAGAATGTTTTTGTCTGGGTCTGTTTTGTATGATCTCTGACATAAAATGGATTCTCCATAAATATTGGCAGTCTCTCTTGTTCCGAGAATGATTGGAAAGATAATCAGTCAGGAGAGGCTGTGATCTCTCTGGACATTTCCTGGGAGAAAGGGAAATCTAAGGAGATTAAAGACAGAAATGGGAATGAGGTACTGGAGGCTGGCCCTTTTGATGCTTTCAGCTATATTCTGGCTCTAGCAGAAATCTCTAGGCTATTTTATAGGTTAAAGTGCAGTAGCAAGAGGTTAAGTGTGGGCACAACATGCAAATCGGGACCATATAGGTTTGGCCCTAGACACTCTTGAAAGTCTGGTGAAAGAAATAGTTGCACTAAATTCTTCACATCTATTGCAGGAATCCTGGGGTGAGAATCACCTCTACAGCACTATGTGACCTCAGTTCTTTGTATCCCTAAAAGTGACTTCTTATGATCTTTTGCACATCATTTTTCTCTTCATTTTGTTTTGAGTAAGTTTGATATCAAATGTTTAGCTCACCCTAGCAACTGTACAGAACCATACAGTTTGCATTTCAGGGCATTAAACCAACTCTGATTTTATTATTTCCCTACTCCTGCCTCTATATTTTCAACAATTCTTAATTTATCCTTTGGCATTGCATACATTTCCACAAATCATATTAAACTCCGAAACACATTTTATACATTTAAACAGCAAGATATTTGCTTCTCTCTCACAAACATGAAATCTTAGTGTAAAAGGCAGCTTAGAGACCATTCAATTCACAATTTTCTCAAAGTACCGTCCTAGAACCTCCTGCTTCAGGAAATGCCGGGGTGCTTATTAAAAATGTCCAGACATATTGAGTTTGGATCTTTCAAAGTAAAACCCTGGATTCTACAGTTTTATAACTTAATTTTCTAGGTAATTCTTATGCATCCCACTGAAAATTTCACTACCCTCAGCCTGTGTGTGTCTGCCTATTCAGCAATGTTCTTTAGAATCATCTTCAAAGAATTAATTGGGAAACAATTAATCCAGCTCCCTAATTTTTAGATGAGAAAATAAAACTCACAAAGTATAAATGACCTGTTTCAGGTTGCACCTGCTTTTCACACACTTCTTCCCTACCTGATGGTTATGTTTATGGGAAACCCCAAATTATCCCCAAAGCAAAAAGAAACTACTTGCATTGTTTCTTTTCTTTCCCAATAAAGAGGACTCCAACGGGACCCAGGTGGTGACTTAATGAACTCATTTAGCTTTAAGTTTAGAGCAAAGGCCAGTAAAACTGAGTAAGAGTGGTAATAAGTTTCTATTACTCACTGAAGTCTATTTTCTGAGAAACAAAAGAAAAAACTCCACCGTTCAAAGGAAGGGGTAGCGCAAGACTTAATCCCCATTTAGTTAGAACTCTACTCTCTTCTAAAGTAGGATCAAACTACTTAAAGAAAAGGTCCTTATTAAAACAACACTGATGTCTGAAAACATAAGAAACAGTTTAGCAGAAGATAGGATTCTTCAGATTTTATGGTTTTGCAGTGAACATGAAACTGGATTGCCTGTGAAGAGTAATGTAAGATCTGATTAAAGTTCAGATTATTGTGCAAACATATGGATGTTAAATAAGTTGCATTAAAAAGAATTACTCTTGCCCTTGGCTATGTTCACACCTCCAAACAAAGTAATGTTTCTTGATGATCTCAATAAGTTACTAAACTGCCCTTAAAAACCTAATTTTGCATGAAACCCTGGAGCAAAAACTTGGCAATATTAAGATGCAGATTTTCCATGGACCGGCATATACTTATTTTGGACCCTGTGGCTGTAAGCATTCATTTGATATGCATCATAAAGCCAGCAAGCAGCCCTTTGTCAGGAACCTAGCAGTTGCCAAACATGAAACATGGAGAAACTATGGGAACTGGTTCCAGTTTTTCAATTTACAACCCAGCCCTTTCTTTTCCTGAGTTAGTCTTCTGGTGATCCTGAAATGTGTTTTGAAGAACGAAGGCAGTAAATAATGGCCGAGTACCTTTTAAATGTGAATTGAGATATATTCTGGAATAGTATCTGAAAACACATCCAAATCTGTATGTTTTTGATGCCAATGATTTATAAGTCTTCCCCCCAGAGTAAATCCATAATGTATTTTCCATACAGAGAGTAGAACACCATTAGTTTTTATCACATTAAGTCAGGAACTTTGATAAAATTCAAATAAATTTTTCAAAAAAATTTTATTAATACACTCTCAATAAAAAGATTTGCCACAGGAAATAATACTTTAAATAGAATGTAATATTTGAAAACATTAAATAATCACTCATAATAATTTCAACATCATCAATTTTCCATTTAGAAAAATTAGCAAGACTTATATACATTATCTCAGTCATTTTATCTATCCTTTTAAGCTTCTATGTGGCAATATTTTGTTAACCTTTTTTCCTTACTGCTGATAACTGAAAGTAATACAATTATTTTCTTTGGAAAGTGTTCAACAATTCAGCATTTTTATTAGTCAGGTCACATTTTCACCTGTTTTCCACAAGTTATTTTTACTTAGTGAAGTTTTGCCAATAATCATAAAGGGGATACTCTGATAAATGTCAGTATGTCTCCAAATATGAATACTAGTATTTAAAATGAATGTACACGTATATACCTGTACACCTAAAACTCTATGAAAATATAGAAATATTTCCCTGAGCATCTATCTGGTTGGCAAGCTGGAAAATTCCAGTCTCCCGGGGGTTAATGCTTCACCTTTCCTCTCTGACAAACATGGTCTAAGAGGAAAAGTAAAAGAGCTCAAATGCTCTTCTGTGACCTTCAGATCATATTCCACATTAATGATGAACACAAGTTGCTTATTGAGCTTATAATTTACATCAAAAATTATACAAGAGAGGAAAAAGTGCTTACCAATTCCAGCTTCCCCGACAATCCAGGAGAGACGAATGAAGAGCATGACACCCCAGATATTGAGCATGCATCTTACCTGTGAATCGAAGGCACATTGAAAGGACATGAGAAGTGAGAGTGGGGCAAAACCCAAGCCTTTGTAACTCTGGCTTCAGGCCTTGTTAACACTCCGTCTACTAGAACATTGAACGGATAACTTTCATTTGTAAACATAGGAGCTTTCTCACCAGCACACCTTTCACCCATCCAAACTTCACAGCACCGGATTTATCTTCTTCCTCCTTGTTTTCAGCTTGTTCATCTCCAGGCATCCCATCTCCATTAGCAACCCTGTCAGCCGAACCTGGGGCCACTGCCACATTCTGCATTTTTACAGAGAGCAAAAACACAGTTCATGGTCAATAAACACACAGTTCCTTAAAAATTTCAGAGCCAATCAAAACAATAGGCATAAACTTAGAGATCAAAAAAAAAATCATAGACATTTTAATAAGGTAATTTAACTTTTGCCCTGGGAAGCTGAGTGATGATAGGCACCAAGACTGCAGGTGTGGTGAAGGAGCCTGGGCAGCTCTACCAGTGAGAATATGACCTTAGAATAATGGCCAGAATTGGATTTGTTGAGAGCACAAAAGGAAAAAGAAAAAAGATGGGATGCAATGAAGAAAGGAAAGCCTATCACAAGTAAATGAGGGCCTTTGAGAAGGGTTGGTAAGAGAGCCTGAAAGTTAACCTTCCTTGTATTATTGAGTACCTGGCCTTCCTTCCATCATACTCTCTGGGCTTCATTTTACTCATAAAATAATGATGATAAAACTTATCAATTCACATCAGAATATCTTTAAGAAGGTTCAGTGAAAGAATATAGATGTTTTTATTATATTTTTAAGAAAAACATATAAAGGTACCACATGGCTACAAGAATGCTATTTCTGTAGAAAAATTTTCTTTCAGATGAGATATGCCTTTGCCCGGGAACTGTTGGCTGTGCTATTAGTATTGTACAGAAGGAGAGAAGTCTCATGATTAGAAAAATAGGCTGAGTAGAAATAAGTAGTGTACAAAAGGTTAGACCTTTAGTTATTTATTTTCCCTGTGGCCTAATTTTCAAAAAGAACTTCCTCATCAGTAGGAAGTCTATAAATTCAGTGGGGGAGAAAACACCTCTGTTTGTCTCAAGAACAACTCCCTAATTTCTCTTTAAGGTATGACTTTTATTAATTTCAGATGCATCCACTTGATTTAGCCTATTTGACACCTATCCAACTCATTAATGGTTAGACTACACCCCAGTGTATTTCCCAAAGCAATCTTTCCCAGGAAGGGTTTTGAGACAATCGGGGAAGTCTTTCAATGCAACATTTAATTACCATTATTAGAGAACAACTTTATTTTGTTTAAATGTTTTAAAAGTGATTTAAGCCCAGAATGATGCGTTCTGATATTACTAGCTAATAGGTCTTGGACAAGGGCATTTCCCCCCCCTCTAAAATGGAACTGGTATGAAATAAATACTCAGTCCTTATTATAAGAACCTTATCTGGGGATGGTGGAAGTTCACTTGCCCTTGCCATGCTCAAGGATTCTTGCTGCTTTTTGCTTTGGTGTATCATTAGTCTACTCATTGTTCACTCACCCCGATTTGTGTTGTTTACTCTAACTGACTCTTACTCTTTGTCTACTTTCTCCAGCATTTTTTTTTTTTACCTCTCTCTGTAAGTAAGGATTTCCTCCAACTTTGTTCTCCCATAAGACTTTTTTCATGATACTAGTGTGACACTTGGGTAGTGAATGTAATCCAATGCAATAGGAGTCATTGCATGTCAAACAAATTGAAGGAAGTTGGAAGTTGGTTACTCCTCCTCAGTGCCAGTCCAGTGGGCCATCGATAAACAGCACTGCATCCATAAAGTGAACCTGAAGGCCACCTGATCTCTATCTGTTAGCTGATAACTTAGCTTTTTATCCATTCTTGCTTTCTATTTCCTTTTTCTTCCTTCCCTGTTGAGAAATGACTGCATTTCTCACTGTTTCCTCTGTGCAGGGCACATTAAGAAAGAGAAAGAAAAGGATACATCCCAAGCCAGATTATTTTATTATCTTACAACAGCATTGGGGAAAAAAGTTGAACAACAAAGGACACAAACTGATAATTTAAATTTAGTTCTGAATTACCTGAGGTATATCTTAATTAAGCATCCTTAAGTCCCGATTTGCACAGATAATTGGCAGCTGATATCATATATTCACATCAGTATAAGATTCGAATAAACAAAGTCCATTGAAATGGAGGCTGAACTAGTAGGGCAGAACCTATACCAACCACAAATGCAAGTTATATATGTAATTCACAATTTTTCAGCAGTTACTTTTTAAAAAGTAAAAAGAAATTAGTAAAAAAGAATGGGTTCAGATGTGGAATCTTAAATTTAAAATGTATATTTAATTTCTATAGAATATCATATTTTTAATATTTGCAATGTAAATATTCATTGTTATAGCACCTCACCTGGCAGGAGGACCCTGAATCACAGACCATCTTAATAATATAATTTAGTTAATAGAATCTATATAAAATAGTATCCTTTCAATGTATAACTGATATAATATATTAATGAGATATTTTACATTCTTTTTTTCACACTATGTCTTTGAGACCTGGTGTGTACTTTACTCTAACAGCACGTCTCCATATGGACTATCCATATTTTAAATGCTCAATAGCCACATATGACATGTGGCTAGCATATCAGATGACACACGTCTATATAATATAACCAATTGCAGATGATGAAACAGTTAAGATGGTTCTCCAGTCAATTAAAAATTCAACTTTTCTCTAAAAAATTCTACACACATAAGGAGGCTGAGTAGGTCAATTGTAACTTTCATTTTCCACAGTTGGAAAGTTGGTGAAAGAAGGGAATTGAGAAATGTGTTAAAATGTCCATGAATGTTGAAGAGATTATTTGGTTAGGAGATTCATTTATTGACTTGAGAAAAAACTTTAAAAATTGTCAGTATTCTAGTTAATCAAGATCCCATGGCCAGATTAAGAAGTACAAATTACCAATTATAAAAATAGTCACGGGGTTATAAAGTATGTAACGAGGAATATTGTAATAACATTTGTAACACCTATATATGGTGTTGATGGGTGATTCTTTTATAAGGTGTATAAATGTCTAATCACTATATTGTACAGTGTAAGTAATATAATACTGCATGTGACTATAATTAGAAAATAAATTAATTTTAAAAATTGTTATTTAAATGTTAATATGCTTTGGGGGAAAAAGAAATACCCATAGCCAGACCATCAGCAGCTACTCATTCAAGGAGGAGGCAATTTCCTTTCCCTGGATTAATTGGGGATCCCATGAGACAAAGCCTTAATCACTTGCTTTATAAAGGCTGTCTTGGGAATAAAACCCATGTTTTATGATTAAACCTGAACTTGAGTGTTTAGTCCAGGAAATTGCTCTGCTCCCTGATGAACTCTGAAGGTAACTGTGACCCATAGATATGGATGAATGAGAATGCTAATTCCTGCAAAAAACATCTTACAAAGTAGCCCAAAGGGTGAAGAGATAGTTAACATTACTCCTTAAATGAACATTTCTATCTGATCGATGCCCTTCTACTCATGTTCAACAATTCTTCAATTTATCACTTAGACATCATAATATAAAGCAAAAAGAATATTCTATAAGGCATGTCAGGGAAATACTCATATATGGAAATTAGTAAGGCAATAATTTTCTTAACTCTTCAAAAATAGAGTCAATATAAGATGTCTAACCCTCCCTTAAGTAAATATATTCAACCTGCTGGGGTTTCAAAGTTTTAAATATATTTATACCTTAGAGGGGGGAAAAAACCTCAAATGCATAGATTTCTTCTATTGACTGTAAAGGCCTGATAGTAAATGTATAAGTACAGAATGCATTTCCATTGCTCACTATCATGTGGGAGCTGAAACATCGTTGCGCCATATAAATTAGAAGATGTGGAATCTAGTTTTGGCTATGCAATTAATTTGGGGTATGTCCTCCAGCACGTTATTTAACCTTTCCTGGATACTGCAAATGAGGGTAAATCCACTGGGTTTTCTGAAAATCTTACTTTGAAGTAGTTTACTCTAACACAAAATAATTTTTCTATGTTTGCCATCTTCCTGTTCTGACATGCTAAAGCAAAACTTGGTTTCACTTCTTAATAAATGCATCTTTTGCGAGCCCAAACAGCAATTATAAAGTCACCTTTATCATCCAAGTACTGAACAAGACTGCGGGTGCAGGGTTTCTGGGGACTTGGTGGCTGTGAGCTATAACTAGTGGCAAGCAGACTCCTGGTTGCTGCATGTTCTTGGGACCAAAGTCTAAAAGACTAATAAAAATTTTATGATTGCTGCATGAAACCAGTTTTTTCCTATATCTTTTGAATTAATTTGTTTGTTCACACTCCATTATCATAAATGATGACCCACAACCTTTCATAAATGCATTTTAAATTGCATAGCTTTAGGGAATGATTATTTATTTACTAAGAGTTTTTACCTCTGCATTAAGTATTCAGAGAAGACAAAATAAAGTGACTTAGAAAGAAAAAAGGAAAAAAAAGTAAGACCATTTGATAAAAACCTTTGCCCAACTAAAACTGATAAACTAGTAAAGCTTCAGCCACATACAGACTAAGGGGTAAGCGAAAAAAAAAACCAAAACAAACGTATTTATTCTGTAAGTTCTAATTAGATACATGTTTTCAAGTTTTTAGCCTGTCATCTAGGGATAGCAGAAATTTAAGAACACTACTGAGAAGTTGTTCCATAAATATTTATATGTACATGATACCTTCCTCATTGTTTTAAACTTTCTTTTATTATTGAAGTATTTAAACCTATGCAACAGTAGGAAGAATAATATATCTCATGTACCCATCACTCACCTTCAACAATTATCAACATATGGCCAATTTTATTCCACCTACGCCTCTCAGACTGCTGCCACTGGATTGTTTTAAAACTAATTCCAGGAAGGACCAGATAACCCCTAAGGTTCATTAAAAAAATAATATATATATATGATTATACTTATATTTTATATCTGAATGATCAATATTATTATGTTTGTACATTTCTAGCCCTTGTGATAAAGGAGAGCATTTTAAACTATGAAAATAAAACAAAACGGAAACAGACTCACAGACACAGAGAACAAGCTGATGATTGCCAGATGGGAGGGTGAGAAGGGTGGGTGATAAACGTGAAGGGATTAAGAAATGCAAACTGCTAGTTGTAAAATTAGTTACGGGTATGTAATACCATAGGGTACATAGTCAATAATAGTATAATAAATGTATG